GTCTTAATACTTAACTCTAAGTTAAGCCGAAATATATAGGCTTGGAAGTAGTATATCAGGATATAGTCTAGGAAAAAGATATCTTATTTCCCTCTTACTATATAGTTAAAAGAAATTAAGGGAGGTTCTATAAAATTCTCTCCTAGTTAATCCACTAGTTTAAAAAACGGATTAGACTAGGTAAATCGTAGGGCGCTTCTTATTTATTTTTATAGGTATAGGATTATCCTATAATATAGGAGTCGATATATTATTTATCGATTTCGATCGCCTATATATCGCCGACTTAGGCGAGGTCGTGGCGGTAGAGTCCTGTAGACTCCCAAAAACTTTAGCCGCGATTAAATATAATAACGGGTAAAAAGAGTATTCCGCGGGACTAAAACTCCAAAAGGTATTAAAAGAAATAGTAACTCGATAATTATAGTTTTTGATTCTTAGTCTACTCGCGAATCCTCCTAACTAATAATTAATAATTAAGAAGATAATAATAGGAAAAACCGCCTATTAGCTCGAGTCGTCTTAAGAGCTATTTATTATTATAAAGTTTTCCACCGATACTTCCTTCCTTTCTCCTATCGGAAGTAATAATATTATATACCCTTATAGTTTCTTCCCATAACCTTACTACCCTTTAACCTATTCCGGTAATCGTACCTTTATCTATCACACTTACTCCTATTCTCCTTTTAGTTAATATTTACTCTATTCTAAAAGGTCCTCCCGACCCGCCGCTAAAATATCCTCTAAACGCCTTAGGATTTCGTTATCCTAATCGTCTCTAGAGTCCTCGCTATCCGTGTCGCTCGATTCGGAGGGTACTTCTACCGGATATTTTACCGAAGGTCTTCCCTTAACCTTTCGGGGCTAGATAGTATCTGGTTTAACGTAGTAGTACCGAGGGCTAGGATAAATAGGAACTAACTCGTAGTAACTACTCGAACCTCTTACCGTAAAAGTCTCTTTAGAGTGATTAATAACTGCTTATATCCTACGGTGCTATTACTTACCTAAAAGTATATCCTATTCTTTAGCTTTACCTAAAATAAAGGCTTAAATAGTACTTATAACACCGCCGATAACTAACTTAAGGAGATAAAATTCTATAATAGGTAGTATCTTATTATCCGTAAGCCGTACTATACACAGCGTGTCTAATCTATATACCGGAAAGTTATATTTTATAACGAAAAGATAACTCACGGCTTCTATAATAGAACTAGAGTCTAGGAGAATTATATCGGAGTAAGTATCCTCTATATAAGCGAAGATATACCCTAAAGTATTAGGTACTCCCTCCTCCATACCGAAAGCGTTATTCTTATATATATATATTCTCTATAATCGTTATTATATCGTAGCGCTATACACGAGGCCTTTATAATCGTATTTATATTCTTTTTCCTCGTTTAGGTATAATTTACTTCTCCCCGACTATCTCGGCCGGATACTTCGGTCTAAATAACGTAGTATAGCTCCGCCCTTATAAGAGGGGAAGCCTAGAATAGTTATATTATAGATATAATTACTGGCTAGTTAGATAGGAAATCTATTATAGAGAATAGCGCTATTCCCGCCGTCTTTATACCTCTAATGGGCTTAAGGCCTCGGAAGGTATCTTTAGAGTTATTCTTTATACCTTTTCTCGAGATCTGAACTTATTTTTCCCTGCTAGATATCTCCGGCCTATTTAGGTAAAGCGGAGTGGGTAAGCGTAGCTAAAGAGTCTAGGATAATTAGAAAATAGTCTTTAGCTCGTTAGCTTTATCTATAACCATACGAGCCGGAGGGTGTCTTTTAGACCGTTATCTCGGTTATACTATCGGCTTAGTAGGAGGCAGGGCGTAAGGTAACTTATTATTTAGGTCCTAGGGAGGGGGGGTGGGTATCCGTAAAGGCTTAGCCCGAGTATTATTAGCGTCCTAATTTAGTTTATTCGGGTCTCTCTATCGCTTATTAACGAGGGTATCCTAGACTTTTAGGTACTATTCTAAACCGGGGTACCTCTTCCGTAAGTCCTCTTCGTGTCTATATATTACCGTTATTTTATTCTTAGGGATCGCGTTACTACGACGGGTGTATACGGAGGGAGGAATTTCACCGAGTATATCCGCCGAAATAGCATATTATAACGGACTAACTATAATATCGTAGTAATCTAGTTCCTCTACCATAGATACGGCCTACATACGATTAATATTCATAAGGATAAGATAGACTAGGATCTGCCCCGATTAAGGCTTTATTAGTCCGGACTCGTTTAGCCGTCGCTCTTATAGCTCTCTATCCCTAGCCGTAAGTATCTCCCCCTTCCGAGTCTCCTAAAAGTCACGACGCTATTATTATTACTCCTTAGAGCCTTTATTTAGATAGTCTCTAATAAAGTGTCCTTAGCTACTATATCTAAAGTAGAAAACTTTATCTAGATTTTAAGGGAAAGAGGGGTTATTATAAGGCTTATCGGACGGAGCTAAAGTAAAAGACGTGTTCGGGTCGTATAATTTACCGGAGGCCGGTCGCGCTAAGAGGCCTTTAATCTTATACACTAATACCTTTAGGATCTTCTCCTGGGTTTCCCTAAACTTCTTTAGGAATTCGTGATCCTTTACATTTAGAGATTCCTTAAGTCCTTTTTCTAATAAGTCGGATATATCGTGGTATCTCCTAGCGACCTCGATAATTATACACTTCACTTTCTTAAAAGTAACGGTGTCCTTTAAAATACTATATCGAGTCTTACCCGACGCCGCTAGCCTATCTATAACGTGTTCCTTTAAATAGGAGTCTATCTTACTATCTATTATCTATTCGTAGAAACGTTAGATAAATAAATACCTAATCTCCGACAATATCGACTTTCTATTAAGTCTAATCCCCCTTTTAATATAATCTATAAACGATTCTCCCGCTTTCCTAGCGAATATAAAGACTTTAATCGTAGCTTATCTATTCTATCAGACTATTTCGTCCTTAAACTCTTTTTAGAACTTTTTTTTAATAGCACTCTACACCGTTTTATCCTTAGTATCGAGCGTTTCCTACTATATCTTTACCTTTCCTACTAAATAAGTCCTTATAATCCTGAGTTTATATTTATCCTTAGCGTTATCGTTTAGGCATTCTCTAAATATATCTACTCTATCCTCGATATCTTTAAGGAACTCCGAGTCTAAGTAGGAATACCTAATACCGGAAAACTTAGATATATTATCTCCTCCGAAGTTCTTTATTCCGGGGCGAAGGGGGTAAGCGTTATAGTAGAGCGGTGTAGTTAGGGATAGGGCTTATATCTTTAGGGAGGTAAAATTTAAGGCGGGTAAAGCGGTAGATACCGAAACTACTAACTATTTTCGAGGCGATAGTAGTAATAACGCCACTATATCTAGAAATAGGGTAAAGGGCGATATTGGTAGGGGGACTTTAGAGGGAATAATTCTGTCTACTTTCCCGGATATCCAGGGTAAATAGTAGAGGGATATAAGGAGTAGAAAAATAACTCGCTAACTTAAGTCGTCTTAAGGCCGCGCGGAATCTTATTAAAGAAGTTACTACTAGGGGAATAGGCGGAATAAGAATATAGATTAGGTATTCTCCTAATACTATCCCTAAGTAGGAAAAGATAATCTATAATATATGTATATTTCTCTATATAAATACTTAAAAACTAGGAGAGGTGATTCTCTATCTTACTATATTTTTATAGAAGAGAGAGTCCGTATAGCTATATTATTACTTCTACTATTAAACCTTCCTAGCCGCTCCGGTTAGGCTTATAGTTTCTTTTATCTGCTTACTAAGTTTTATTCTTAAAGTAGTATTTATTTTAGGGGAGGTACTAGCGTTATTGTTAATTCCTATTATTCTAAGTTTAACCCGGTCCCCCTAAGTCTCGCCTATCCGGGGGTAAATATAATCGGATATACCTTTTATTTTAGTCTGAATATAATTTTATCGTTAGAAATAACTTTTGATTTCTAGTCGATTTCTTATAGGCGCTATCTTCTACGGGATAGTCGTTTCTCTTTTCGATATTATCCTTATTTCTGCCTTACAAAAATAAAGTAGACTTAGTTCCGTGTTAGGACGGTAACCTCTCCTATCTTTCCTATAGGACACCCCGGGTCTTTTATAGGGTATTATATAGCGGTTTCTCCTATTATTACTGCCTATCTATTTTCTTTTATATCGGTGATATATTTTTAGTATGTTTTTTTAGAGTCTTTATTTTATTTATCTCTCGTTTTTCTATAGTCGGCTATTTCGAGATTCGTCTCCGTCCTTATTACCGTGATACATTATAATATAATAATAAAAGTATTGCTTTTATTTTAGTCGGTTATAATCGTGCTAAGAATAGAATACAAAGGCTTATAACGTGTCGGTAGATTAATTCTAGTTCGAGAAAGCGAATAATAACGACGATCTTAGAGAAAAGGGAAGAGAATAATTTAAGCTTAACTAAAGTGATATAGTTAACCCTTATACTAACTACTAAATTAAGATATTCGTTGTATCTATAGTGTAGATATATATATATAAGAAAGAAGCTAATAACTACTCTAGGCTATAGGAGAGGCTAGTAAAAGCTCTCCACCTATAGGTAGATCACATGACCTGCCTCTTAGGATTAGGGCGACGTTTTAAATCCGAGGGACGCACCGTGTTTGAATGTCGGTTAGAGTTTTGAAAAACGCCTGAAGAGATGAAAGTTGTCTGAGAAGTAAATATTAAGCAGAGGAAATTTGACCTGCGAATAAACAATAAATACCTAGGTACGTGCGGCGTACGGAGTACCTTACGGAGTGCTACGTGTTACTCCGTACTTATACACAGCCACAAAAACATCGTGCCACCGAGATAAGATAATATGGCTGACTCAGGTTCGGATTAACCTAACAGCGAAACTCATTCCAACCCGGTCTTGGCGTGCGGTCTCGTCTCGTATCCAACAGAAGAGCTTCGACGCGATTGTCCGTGTCGACCTCCCTCTCCCCCCCCCCCAACGACCAGAATTTCCGGGCGCAAGAGACCCAACGGATCCGTCACCCAAGTCGACATCCAAACCCCGACCCCAATACCAACTGCGAAATCTACTAGACTAGTCATATACATATTCAGACAAGGTCGGCTGCTATCCCGCTGCAGCAATTGTTCGAGCGGTCGCATGCGAATTCACCCTCTATCGAGCATCGCCCATGCAGACGAGCCGCGATGCACGTCATCAAGCCAGCTTGGCTGAGCCACAGCGGCGAGCAGAAGGACTTTGAGGTCTACAGCTGCCATGTCTCGCCCGACGGGAAACGTCTGGCCACTGCCGGCGGTGACGGTCACGTCCGTGTCTGGTCGACCGAAGCTATCTACGGCACAGATACTGGCAAAAGTGCGGGAAAACCACGCCAGCTCTGCCACATGAGCCATCATCTCGGCACAATCCACTCTGTCCGATTCTCTCCCAATGGTCGCTATCTTGCCTCGGGCGCCGACGACAAGCTCATCTGCGTCTACCATCTCGACAAGAACCCTCCTATCGCTTCCTTCGGTGCGTGCGCCCCTCCGTTCTGTCGTCCCTCCCCCCCCCCTCCCCTTCGCCCGGATCTACTCTACTCTTTCCGGACTGCTAAAAAATGGACATGTTCACTTACTGACGGGGAACTTTTACTCTACAGGCATTGGCGAGCCACCTCCCGTAGAAAACTGGAAGACGTACAAGCGTCTCGTTGGCCACGACAACGATGTCCAGGACCTCGCCTGGTCTTACGATTCCTCCATTCTGGTCTCCGTCGGCCTCGACTCGAAAGTCGTCGTATGGTCAGGCCATACTTTCGAAAAGCTCAAAACCCTCACCGTCCACTCGAGCCACGTCAAGGGCATCACATTCGACCCTGCCAACAAGTTCTTCGCCACGGCTTCCGACGACCGAACAATAAAAATCTTCCGCTTCACGCCCCCGGCCCCGAACGCCACACAGCACGACATGGTGAATAACTTCGTCTTGGAGACCACCATCAACGCACCCTTCAAGAGCTCCCCGCTGACGACCTATTTCCGCCGATGCTCCTGGTCCCCGGATGGCAACCACATCGCTGCCGCCAATGCCGTCAACGGGCCGGTGAGCTCCGTCGCCATCATCGAACGGACGCGCTGGGACAGCGAGATCAACTTGATCGGGCACGAGGGTCCCACGGAAGTCTGCATGTTCTCGCCTAGGTTGTTCTACACGGCCGATCCCGTTACCTCGGACGAAGGTTACAGCAGCCAGCTCGTGACGGTCATCGCCTCGGCGGGCCAGGACAAGACACTGAGCATCTGGAACACCAACACGTCCCGTCCCGTCGTCATCCTCCAGGACGTCGCTAGCAAATCCATCTCCGATCTGTCGTGGACGCCCGACGGTCAGACGTTGTTCGCGTCGAGTCTGGATGGCGCCGTCATTGCCCTGCGGTTCGACAGGGGCGAGCTCGGCTGGGTCGCCAACGCGGAAGAGAACGATAAGGCGTTGCAAAAGTATGGCGCCTCTAGGAAAGGGATGGGCATCGCCGAGGACGTGGAAGGCCTGCAGCTCGAGTACCACAGCAAGGCGGGAGAGTCCAAGGCGGCCGAGTCCCGCATGGGAGCTCTCATGGGCGACCTCTCCGCCGCCGCCGAGGCGGCCCCCACCGCCAACGGCATCAAGACGAACGGGACGGGCACCTCAACCCCGAAAGCCCTTCCCAACGGCAATATGGAGTCGGACAAATCCAAGGACAAGGAGAAAGACAAAGAGAAGGAGAAGCACAAGGAAAAGGAAAAGGAAAAAGAGGTGGAGAGGGAGAGGGAGACGGAAAAAAAGAAGCCCGCGGAAGAAAGTGCCGACAAGGCTGCTGAACGTGTAAGGGAGCTCAAGGCCCGAGTCACCATCGGAAAAGACGGCAAGAAACGCGTCGCCCCTTTACTTGTCTCTTCCTCCGGCACAGGCCAGTCGTCCCTTCCCCAGACCCAACTCGTCGGGTCGACATCGACGGCGAAGGGGTCTCAGAACGATGCGCCGCTGTCCATCCTCGACCTTAGTAAGCCGGTGGACGGGCTTCCGAAAGGCGGGATCGCGGCCATGCTTCTGGGCAACAAACGGAAAGCCATCGCCATGGAAGGGGAGGAAGAAGACGATGCGACAAGAAGGCGACCGACAGCAGGCCCGACCCCTATCGTCGTGAACGGACCGGACGGTGTAGAGCCTGCTTCCGTGGCGGAACGGCCGCAGGGGGTGATTCCGACGCCGGAGTACCTACGACCTGCCGTCGTCAACCCGTCCATGGCGCTTGCGCAGATTCGGCTGGCCGTCCCGAAAGTTCGATCCCACATTGTCAGGCCGATGGAGCGCGGAATTCTTGTGGGAGAGGATAGCGCCAGCCTCGACGAAGCGTCCAAGGCGCCGGAGAACCTCGTCCTGGAAGCCCGCAACCCCGTCAGTGCCAAGGACCCGTCGCACGTCACGGTCGTCAAACGCGGCATGCTCGTGTGGCAGGACTACCTGCCCCGCGCCGTCCTGCTCGTCACGGGCAACAAACACTTCTGGGCGGCGGCCTGCGAGGACGGCAGCATCTACATGTGGACGCCGGCCGGACGGAGGCTGATGAACGCCGTCGTCACCGAGTCGCAACCCGTCATCCTCGAGAGCCGCGAGCACTGGCTGCTGTGCATCAATGCCGTCGGCCTCTGCTACGTCTGGAACGTCAAAACCCAATCCTCCCCCCACCCCCCCGTCTCCCTGGGACCGGTCCTCGAGCTGGCCACGACGACCCTGAACCCGCACGCCGCCAGCTCCGGTCCCGGCGTCACCTCGGCGTCTCTCAACTCGACGGGCCACATGGTCGTCACGCTCACCAACGGCGACGGCTACTTTTACGCCCGCGAAATGTACGCCTGGCAACGCGTCAGCGAGGCCTGGTGGGCCGTCGGTTCGCAGTACTGGAACAGCAACGACTCGTCCGTCAGCGCGCTGCAATCCACGGCGGTTGGTCCGGTCGCGCCGTCGTCGTCGGCGAAGAACGACAGGGACAGGGACAGGGACAAGGACAAGGAGAAGGAGAAGGAGAAGGAGAACCAGGCCGTCCCCGTCTCGGCCGGGGTCATCCCGCACCTCGAGCGGCACACGACCAACGAGTTCCTCCTGCGCGGCAGGGCGTACACGCTGCAGCGCATCATCAAGACGCTGATGGCCAAGGACGGCTTCGAGGCCTTCGAGAGCACCGTGAGCATCGCGCATCTGGAGAACCGCATCGCTGCCGCGCTGCAGATGGGGGCTCGGGACGAGTTCCGCCTCTACCTCTTCATGTATGCCAAACGCATCGGGGCCGAGGGCCTGCGCGGGAAGGTCGAGGAGCTGCTGAACAGTTTGCTGGGTGGGATCCTCAAGGATACGAAGGGGCAGACGAGCGAGGGGAGAGGCTGGTATACGGCGGAGGAGGAGATTTGTGGATGGGATCGGAAGGAGTTGCTCAAGGGCGTCGTCATGATTCTCGGTGCGTTTTCTTTTTCTTCTTTTTTTTTTCTTCTTTTCTATTTTCTCCTCTTCTTTCTTTCCTTCTCTCGCTTTCTCATTGGCGACACAGCTGACAACCATGGCAGGCAAATTCAGGGAATTACAACGGCTAACTGTCCAATACGCCCGCGTCCTGGATCTAACTCTAGAATCAGACGATGCCGACGATGGCAACCCAATGGAGGTCGAGGCCTGAGCCTTCATGACAACTCTTTCTGTGCCATGTATCAACGGCCAAACGACAATGCCGCATCTTCAGGCATCTTCTCGGACGGCACACTGCAGTGTATATGTACTACTTCCTCTTTCTTTTACACGCAGGTTATTCGCAGCGTTGTCTTTTGTGTCTTCCGTCTATGAGGGAACGGGGGGGTCCTCTTGGTGAAGAAGGACAGGGTAGGCAGCTGGGGGGGAAATATTATGGATGGGGGAATGAGTGCGGCTGGCTTTTCACACAAGACACATACATCTAGGCTTATAGTCCGCCTGCGAGGCGTCAGTTGGAGTTACTGGCGTATTTGGTTGCTTCTGTTCGAGGAAGACGACGATGGGGAATTTCTTACCCCCCATGTCCAACAAATATATGCTACGAAGAGTGGAATACAATTCGGTCGCTGGGCTTCTGACACTCATCCGTTTTGACGCTTGACTCTCGGTGGCAGGCTCTTACGGCGAGCCATGTTCTACTGGCTTTTCAACAGCCTGTGGTTCGCAAGCACGGTGTATAACGAATTGCGAAGAAGGTCCCTATGCTAGCATAGGTGGCTTAAACGAACTCGTGGCAAGCCTTTCCTTCACATCAAGGGCGACTGTGCTACAGCACATGCACTCTTCACAGGTCTCAAGCCTCGATTCGCGACGCAATCCCAGCAGAGATATCGAATTCATACATTGGCACCCTGTCTGTCATCCTTGTGTTTCTGAGCAAAGTGCCTTTGCTTGGATTCGCCACTGCCACCACACACATTCCTTATTCAGGGGGTCGCGCACACCGCTGCGACTTGGAACAACCTTGATGCAACTCTACAATTTCTGGGAAACGAACATCATCTGAGGCGGCCCTTCTAGATTTTCTACTTTGGCAACTCTGTCTCCCAAAGTCCCGAGGTGTCGATAAATGATACGGAGTAGGAATTGAAAGTACCAACACCAAAACCAGGATCCTCATTTCCCAAGAAGCCCCCTTTTTAATCCATTTATTTATTATGCATTCTGGTGTAGGGATAACCATCGACTTTGGTCTTCTTCATGAATGTCGCGTGATTGATTGGGTGCCTGTAAGGAGCGGTTATACGTTCGCCCTAGCCCTTAATACGGCGTATAAGAGAGTCCAAAGAGGCTGAATTGCAATGCGACGCGTGTTCTAAGCCCCTTCGCTTTAGTTTGATGCCGAGGAAGAAATCGCCCGCACCTACGGAGATGATCGAAATGGTAAGACGGCATAACAAAGCCCAAACACCCGATCTTTGTTCCAGAACATGTTGGATTCCCATGAGCCGTCATTCGAGATTTTGAACATCTGTCTGTGCGTAGTTGGTCTCACTGACCTACCCAGGAAGCCATGTACCCTTGGCTCCGTCTGGGCAGCAGAGAGATTGGAGATTCAGTCCGTCCGTTGCCTGATTATGTGCGCTGGCTCGTGTGTCCACGCCCAGGACATCCGTTCGTCGATAATCAATGCCCATTTCCCTTCATTTCCTGGTTATCAATCCACGCCCGCCATCGGGAAGGCTTCCGGAAGCTCGGACGCATAGCGTCGTTGTGTTACCGGGTCCATGCCCCTCCCCCATTGTGCCTAGGCTTCTCTGCACAAGTGACAAGCCATCCCTGATACCCTCATCTGTCTTCTTCTGTGGCGGCTTACCGGTAGTACGTTGTACGTTGTAGTCTCGTTCGTCATGGTCCGGAGGCGAGTGTGATGATCCCCATCGCGGTTGTTGCAGTGATCTCAAGCTGCCCCTTCCTGGTTGGGGGGGAAATATTTCCAAAGTGCAAAGTGCTCTCCCTAATCCCCCTTCAGAAGACTGCAGCTCCATGACAGGAGACAGGAGTTGCTGGGCCCCCTTGGATGGACCGGCGTTGCAACGGTACCCCACCGGCAGAGGGCGCGATGTCACTTCGGGGTGCCGGCTTTTCGACTTTTCGACTGCTATCGCCATTCTCTACCCTTTTCAGACCATGGCATTGCCTGATATTGGACAGTGGTGACTAGCGAAGCCGGATTGGGCGAAAGGCGCGCTAGAGATGTAACCAAAATGGGCATTCTCGAGAAAGAAAAAAGGGACTGTGACGGATACCACCTTCGACTCCATCGACTCCATCTTATTAGAATATCACCGACTTTTATACCCCCCCAAAATCAAGCAACTGTCAGGTTGGTTGCGGGGGGAGGTAGGGGATGAGAAACGAATCAACGACACGGACACAGGTCCCTGGTCAGATCAACGACACATAGGAATGCGACCCGCAACCCGCAACCCGCAACCCACAACCCACACACTCATTACATCCCCATGTCAGTTTGGCGAGAACGGACCTCCCCTTCCAAGTTCCCGCCCTGGCGGTGTGCGTACCCGCCACAACTACGGACTCGCCTACTGGGTGCAGAAACCGGCAACTTTGGCGGAGAACAGTTTCTTGTTCGGGCATCAAATCCTCACTCACCGTCCGGCGACCGAAAAAATGCCCGATGTCAACCCTGGACTGCCGCGAAGATCGCTTCACGCGTGGGGGGGGGGAGAAGAGGAAGCAAAATAAAGCCAATTGAGATATCTTTGTGAAAGTGAAAAGCGCCACCTAATATTAATGTTCGCTCCCGCAACTATGTATGTATGTATGTATGTATGTATGTATGTATGTATGTATGTATGTATGAGACGAAGTTTATCCCTCAGTTTAATACGAGGATAAACCCCCCCCCCCCAAAATGCGGCGTGATGGAGCAGCCAACTGCAGCATATTGTACGCATACGACGAAGTATTCCCCAAAAGCAGAATAATTACATATGTCCCCGTCCCTGGTCGACTCGCCTGAAAAGTGAAGATCATGTCCAGAAAAAAAGAAAAAAGAAAGAAAAAAACATGGAATTGAAATCCGGGGTGCATCATTCTCCGTGAACGGACGACTGGGAAACATTTGGACTGTGGAGCTCGCTTCTTATCAGCCTAAACGGCAAAAGAAATGAACTCAATGTAACCCCGTGTTCAAATTGACGTCTTGGCGAAATAACTGACGGAGTTACCTACCTGGACGTAATACAACGTAGACGTGCAAAGCCTGCCGGTACTGCCCCCTTTGCCCTCAAAGGAGTTAGGTCAAGGTGGTCTTTCTGCCGCAAGCAGGCTTGCAGTCTTGTTTGGTGGTGCTTATGCTGCTCTTAACATGTGTATTATTGAGAGAGAAGAACGACGAGTCGGGAGGAAAGAAGGTCGATCGTAAGAACTTATCTTAGGATGGCTAAACACCAGGTATCTGTCCAGCCGTAGAGTCCATCCTCAACAGCCTTGCCTCTAGGATTCGCAAATATGCTCGAGTTTACAAATATCATGAATGGGGAGATGAATGATTATTTCGTATGTATGTACCAAGTCAACAAAGAGAAGCTCGGGTCCGACCTGGCAATAAATGCACTGGTCTGGTTCGGGCGCTGCGGATACACCCGTCACGATCTCAGTTCGCTGGGCTGACGAACAGCACCCAAGGTTCTGGAGCAAGCGGGATCCCCGTAGTCGACATGAATTGACGTATTACTCACTTTGTTCAACCCAGACATTCGCCAGACGCTACCATGATTAAACGAATACCAGGGGCAAAGTACTCTTGAGTCTTAAAACACGGGAGAACCTCCCATCACCATCTCGCCCACTGTGCGGCAAAACAGGAAACTTGTTTCCCGTTGTGATATAAAGAGACGGGAGAAAAAGAAAACACCTTGTCCTCTAGTCGGACAACGAAACACGACACGGCTAAATGCCAAGTGCCAGAAACTCGACCTTGCATTGAGATGGATCCATTCAGTGTCGGCTGATGAGGTTGATGAATAAACTGCGTGTTTGGGGAGAGGGGAGTGCAGAAATCCTGCACGAAGATCATACAAAAAGGTGGTACTCGGACGGCACGTGGATCTGTAGGCGTGAGCAACGTGCAGAGCACGCAGCTTCGACGTTGGTTTTCCATCAAGCAAGGCACTGTGCAACTATTTGCAGTGGGATCGTAGCCGGTTGGGGCGGACGCGGTTGTCCGTTCATCGGGCAGCCGCATGTTGGCAGAAAGTATCTAGGCCCAGAGACCGTTGTATCGTACGAACTACGAAATGCGTCCTCGGCTACACGTACTCGAGTGAAGATGAACATAACATCATCGGACGAACAGGGGGGTTTCGCTTCCAGTAGCGAAACAACGAACGGCAGGCAGTCATCACCACACAGCGCAAACGCTTTGGTAGGTAAACCGTAACGTCGTGTTGGTGGCCAGGGAGTGAACTGTGAGGAGGACAAGAGCCACAAGGCAAGTCGGTGCGGCAGTCGAGGTTAGGAGAACCTTTGGACAGAAACGACCATGCATCAGAAAAGACCGGTAGCTCTCGGGCCGACGGGAGAGGTAACTTGATCTAACTGACCATTGAGGTATCCGAGCGTACCTCCCTATGATATAGGCCTCGATGTCATCGGTAATGTACCGTCTGGGTAGTGCAATGCTTTGTTAAGTCAATACGTTATCGGAACATGACAGAAATGGTTTGGTTGGTAGAGGCACACACACCCCACCCAGCCTGTCAAACTAGTGCCGTCCCAAGGTGCCATTCTCGTTTCCCCCCTTAAAGGTAGGGGATGTTTCACTGTTAGTACAGCGCATAAGCACTGTATTGACATACTGTATACATTCAAGGGCGAGACTTTTGCGTTTTCATAGCAGTGTAGCTCGAGTAGAATACCTTTTAGACGTCTATTGCAAGTACTCACTCACGCAAGGTTAATTTCTGTGGCGATACTAATTATGTGACGCCGTGCGCGCTGCAGAGCTGACAAAGTTCCTTCTGGCCCTTTTCGCTTCTTGCTGTAATTTACGAACAGTATAGTAAGCTCTACATACTGTGATTTCCTACTGTACCTGCCTATTTCCCTCCTCGGCCCTGTTATCCCGGGCTGCCGTGATAGTCGTTGTCTGGCCTCTCCAAAAATTTCTAAATTGAGATTGTCCCGAAATTCCTTCATGAAAGATCGTTGCCTTGTCCTCGTTTTCGAAGCCCGAAATGAACAACGACATCTTCCATTCCACCCAGTAACGCAGGGTACCTTTTTCGCTTCCTGGAACACACGACCTCCATGCGATCAATGCAGTGCTCTTGCCCTACTCTCCCCAAATCGTGAAGGGCATCAAAGCATGATGGACCACCGTGGGGAAAGAAAGCGTTCCAAGGCCTCGGCTGTGCCGGGGAATCGGCCCACCCGACGACATGCCATGCTGGTCCGGTCCAAGCACCAGAGGGCCTCTCCCCCAAATCGATCGACCCGGTCATGCACGATGCTTCCCCAAGGCGTGTCTCAGATGCTTCCACAGATTTGTTCTGCTTCAGCCAGGACTTGGCTTGGCCCAAGCCAGCCATGTCATGCTTCCCGGTCTTGCACCATCTTTCGACTCACCTCCCTCATTCCAGCCCTTGTTCTTTGCCTGCCTTTTCTTCTTTTTTTTTTGTTTCCTTTTTTGTTTCTTTTTTTCTTTTGTTTCTTTCTTTTTCCCCGCTTTCTTTTCTTCCTTTCTTCCCGCCCTCTCCGATCTCGTCAAGGCGTGCACGAATACCTGTACCGCACAGACCTGAGACGTCGAGTAGCATTAGTAGCTACCTAGCTCGCATAACGTGACGGTAGGTATTATCCTAGAAAAAGTCATTGACGGGATTACCTATGTAGGCATGGATACAGCGTACAACGTAAGAGTCCGCTGGCCCGGATCTCTTTGCATCGGGCTTTTTCACGGCTAAAACGACATGACACCCTGCTTAATTACCCTCCCACCCTCCCCCTTCTCTTCCTCGGACTCTCTCCTCCCCCCACTTCCGGGTTCGCCCTGGGCCAAAACGACCTTTCTTGCGTCTCTCGGGCCGGCTATTTTCAGACAGACAGACGCCTGCCTGAGCCCCAAACCAGTTGCCGCCTTTCCCTCCACGTCCCCCGCTTGTCCTGATCTGGTGCGTAGTGCCCACCCAACGCGCTAGTCCTGCCCCAAACGCGATGTTGTTGTGCATGCGCACCGCGTTTTGTTATGATAGCCAGGCGGGTGTATCATGCGTGTAGGTATGCAGTGCACCTGCGATCATGTCTACGTCTATTCTACGTCTATGGGCGGGAACGCCGGACGATGCTGCCGCCCGGGTATTCTGGCTCCGTCCCCGACCCTCTGGGCCTCACTCAAGCTGGCCGCGCAAGCAAGCTGCCGTCGTTGACTCGACTTGCAGCTCAGCTCATTTCCCCAAGACTGTCTGCATTGGACTGCATTGGTGTGCATTCCTTCATCATCCCTTTATGTATCTCTCCTCGTGTGGACATCACTGCTTTAGCTAGCTACGCATCAACTCGCAACCTCTCCCCTATACATACGATGATACGTACCATAAATCTCTCTCCGTCGTAAGGTAGGTAGGTACTACGAGTAATATCTACGGGGATACAAACGAAATGTACCATGGTCCGGGTGTGAGCGACCAGTGCCAGTACTGTAGTCACCACGGTGGTAGTGGTTACGGGGCCTAACCCCCGGTCTGTCAAGCCCTGGTTTCTCGGCTGTTTGAAGCTAAACCCACGGTTCTACACGTAATTACCAAGTGGTCGATTCCGTCCCAACTTTAGCCTAGCCTCTGCATAGGTACCCGTACCTGGCGTTAAATCTGACACCCCCCTCCAAGTTGCGGCGGTTTCTCCCTCAAGACTTCCCTTCCTTCCTCACTCATCTTAATTATTTCGTTGCCATGACATTTCTTGTTAAGCATTGCATGTTGATGGTAATATGAAGTACATGAGTTCAAGTTCCTAGGCACACAATGCGTACGAAAACCGAATTACGGTAATACGGAGTAAATATGAATATCTATATATATCCCTAAGACGATAAGCACTTTCTCGTCACACACAATGTTAACACGCGTTGACCGTTGTTTTCCGCCAACCGTTTGCTCTGCGGTCCTCGATCGTGGGCCCATAGCCCCGTCCAAATACTACCAGAGTACCTTTGATATGGCACACTTAAGAGACCTAGTATAGCCTCCTCCTTGCCAGCGTCGACTTGCTATTGGGTCTTCACATACTAACGCAGGCCACTAGCACTTTCTAGACTTCTGGTTCTGTGTGAACACGTCGAGCCAATGTAGGATTTTTTTTTCTTTTTTTTTTTTTAAAAAAAAAGTATAGGTTTTCTTTTTTGGACTGTTTTTCTCTAGGCCTAAGTAAGAAGTCGATGGCATAATGTGCGGCGAAATGATCCCCTAGATGTTAGACCTCTGTGACCAGTTCGTCTCAGTTTGGATACGTATTAGGTACTGGACACTGCGTAGGTACTTTAATAGAGACACACCGTCCATACATGCCCCTTGGGCGACCTCACGCCCACCCTGGTCCCTGCTCTGCCGAAGTGAGGGACAAGAGCCACACTCTGGCGCTGCCGAGTCACTACCTCCACCACCCTTCGCTCCGGCAGAGACGTCCGCCAAGTCCTCAATCTTTTAGTCAAGCTCCAGGGCTTCGCGTTTGGACCCTGGGCGGATAGGATGCCGGGATGCTGGGAGATTGGACGGAAACCTTTAACATCATCGCCATCGCCATCCATAGGGATGCTCATGCACCATAGTTTCCGTCCATATCTCCCTGTCTAATACAATATACATTAGCATGAGAGTGACGCGTCGGCCGAGCTTCTCGCACCGTACTTAGTTTCTTGAATCTCAACGACCTCCTGCAACTCCATCGGTTCCTTCTTTCATACTCAATCAAGGCGGCGCAACGCGACAACACTTCCTCGCCCCGTAGCGTGACATCTCCGGTCGAAGACACACAGCGCCGTCGGACAGAAAAGCGAGATTCAGGGATTGTGGTTCTGACAACCCCCCAACGGCCTTACCAGGTTATCATCCACGACTTGACTCTGTTGCTTCCTGCCCTTACACAACCCTCGTTTCGACCACAACTTTGCGCACCATCACTCAAAGTTTCTCCCGACTCCCTGCCTGGACGTACCACTTGTCGACCGAAACCCCTCTCAGCCCCCCGAAGGGCCGAATCCCAGCGCCGCCATTGTCTCGTCCGAATCCAAGAGCAGAGAGATTCCATGCCCACGCCTGTCTGGGATACGTGAAGATCCCACAACGGCATATAGATGCTCTTTGCGTCGTGGAGTTCTGTTCAACTTTCTAGCTAAGGTACCAACGGTAGGTCAAGTCACCTTTATTTTTTTTGTCTCGGAACTGAGCTGGTCGTCCGTCCAAATATGATCATGCCTGCGTGCCTTTCCATCTACCATCCCAATGTCAAACCCGCACCATTGGCTCTGGCTTCAAGTGAGCACAATAACTTACCTAACTCTGCTACCGCGGGATGGGGAGTTGATGTATTCCCGCTACCTCCCATGTACCGCCAGGCTCCCCAGCGGCCCAGCCAAGGCACCATGACCATGCCTGTCAGGTGCTTGGTACCTTCCCCAGATCTTCCTGCCTTGCCCGTACCAAAAAGCACGACCAGGTGGTCTGACAGCAGATGACACTCCTCCACCTCCTCTTCCTGCCAATGTATTCTTGTTCCGTTCCTCCTTCCTGTCATCACATACGGCATACTTTATACGGGACTAGAGCCACCCCCTTTTGCCTTGCTGGAGTCTCCTTTTTCACTTGCCTCACTTCTCTTGAAGATAATATGTACTTCTAGTACACAGTGTACCCCGTCTACATCACCCCCCCTGTTTCTCCTTCTACCCCTCAAACCCCTCTTACTCAAAGTCTCCCCACTTGGGATTACATTTCCTCCTCTGGCTTCTACCTACGGTGTGTATCCACTGTGTCCCGGCAGTACCAGCGCCTCGCAACATGGAAGTCGCCTGCAGGTGCTCCTTCTGCCGTCTTAGCATCCAGTCTACATGAAGAAGGAGCAACCTGAGAAGGTGAGATCAAGCAACGGAGTCAACAGTGCCGGCCTTGCATGGTAGAGGTAGCAAGGTAAAGCGTCTACACTGTATATTCCCGCAACCCACGCACCTACCTTACCTAAGGTACCTTACCTACTTTGTACGCACCCGAGTGGCCGTATGACGCGCGGAAGGCCCTTTGCCCGTTGCCACTCTGGTTTATTTACCTGGTAGAAAGTCGGGACTTTGACAAGGGTTTCCCGTCCTGGTCTACCAATCAAGCTTCTCCGGCCCCAAGTTGGGATTCCCTACCTTGAGCCCTTGCGCCTACCCAACAGACACAGACACAGACACAACCGCATCACGCTTTCGTCCATTACGGATACTCTTCACAGTACTGTCATCTTCCGTCACCATCTATTCAGTCCTTGTCCTCTCTTAACTTCAGAGCGCCTGGCTTGGGTCTTCCATCACACCTCGAAACTCCCCCATTCTTCTTATCTACGAAAGCAGAGAAAGAGGTCCCATCCTAACATATCCTCCCAGAGTCCCAGCGCACCCCTCCACACTATCAGTGACGCAACACTCCGAAACGCGTCCTGGTCTTCCGTCTACGACTCAGTATTGTTACATCACCATCTCCGTTTCATCTATTTGTCAAGTTGGCCGGGGACAAGCGCGACGCGCCTCGGACTTAAGAGACCTCCACTCTCCGGGCGACTCTCGACCTCAAGGACTTGGCGGTCTCGGGCGCACCGATCAGTTCCAACGGACCAGTTGACCACAGCATATAGTTATCGTCAGTGACATTTGCATGATCGACATACTCAACTGCGAGTTACACGATCTCTTGTCTGACCTGTACCCGTCTTGGTCCTCCTGATCAGCTGCCTTCTCTCGCCTTCCTCTCTCAGCACACGCGAGCTCACACATTCCAGACTCAAACCACTGGATAATCGGTCTCCCGCTTTCCGATAGCACGCCTAATCTCTTACTTTTCGGCGCCGCGAGTCTGTGACTTGCGTCCTCAAAGGACGGGGTTGCAAAGACTACCGACAGTTGCGCGGGGGAGCGCAAGCTAAAAGCTCGGTTACATCTTTCGAAGACCTGTTTCCGTGGTTTATTACGAATGGAGTTACCTCCGTACAACCAGTGCGGCACCATGAGTCCCATTTACAGGAGAAACGAGGTACAGGTACACTCGCCCTCTTCAACATTATCCGATTCAAATCCACAAGCCACGACCTCCACAGGGGACCCGAACTACATGCTCTCCATCATCCAGCATCCAGTCCATGGCAGAGTTCACAATGGGAAAGACAAAGGTTGGTTGGTTGGTTGGATGGCCCTTTCTCTGTGCGCTGAATTATTGCGCGCGTGCGCTAACAGTTGTACGTTAGACCGAAAGCCCATCGACCCTCCGCCAGTAGTTCGTCTTCAAGTCTCGCCGGGACGCGACCCTACCGGAGTCTACTTGACCAGTAAGTAGCATGCCCTAGCATACCGGTAGCCTTAGGGGCAGAACACCGTACAGTTATCTAACGACATGCATCGTCAGATCCCTATCATTTTGTCATGTGCCACCTGATCGATGTCGGCGAGAAGGACAGCAAAGGCCAAACAATCGAGAAGCCAGTGGAAGGAAACAAGCTCATCGGAACCATAGTGTCTTCACTCCATCGGCTGAAGGACGTGCAGAATCAGGATGTGGCCTACTTCGTATTCAGCGACGTGTCGGTCAAGGTCGAAGGCTTGTTCAAGCTTCACTTTACCCTTTACGAAATGGCTGGCGACGACTGCAGACAACTCGCGGGCATCAAATCCGAGCCGTTCTACGTCTACCCTGCCAAAAATTTCCCAGGCTTGGCCGAGTCTACCTTCTTGACTCGGAGCCTCAGCGACCAAGGCGTCCGCGTCCGCATCCGCAAGGATTCTCGGCAGTCGCAGGGCATGAAAGGGAACAAGCGTTTTGCCCCGTCCGGCGATGACCCCCGAAAGGACATGCCGCAGCGACGAAGGACAGATGAAGAGGGCAATTATCGTGCAGTGGGCGTGGGGGCCTCCACCTTGTCACCTGTTCAGACTTCTCCCGGTTCCGGGTCTCTTCAGGGCAACATTCCGCCCAGCCCTGCTTCGTCCACCGGCATGGTCCACACCTCCGGAGGGATACGACCACAGCGTCCGTTGAGCTCCAGTATGGGTCCTGTCATGAGCAACATGTCTCCCCGGGGCCAAGTGGGCGCCGGATTCTACGGCCAGTCTTCATATTTTCAGCAGAATATGGCCCCAGGCCACATGTTGAACGGAAGCAGTTTGGCACACAGCCCTACCACCATCAGCCCTACCAGTACACATTCCATGTCCATGTATGGACCACATGCGGGAGTTATTCCCGATTATTACGCCGGCTACGGCCACATCAATGGTCATCCGACCGCGGCAGCCCACGCGCACTACTCTCAAACGCCGCCTTCCGCCTAGGAACTCGCCGAGAAGCCATCCGGTGAGGCCCTGTACCCCATTTCTGCCGCCGACAGCCTTCGTGGCAAGTCTGGCAGATGGGCGCCTATAGGGGATGGTCTTCTCGGAGTGCACGCCAAGTCTGGCAGTTGGGAGCAGAGCTGCTCCAACGCGGTCGCCGCCGGCCGTGATGCTACAGGGACGGGCTACATAGTAGCCTAAGAGAGAAAGAAAAATAGGGGGAATTTCGACGCCAAGGGTAAGGAAGGCGTTGGGATGGGTCTGGCAACTGTATGCTGAAACTACGGTGGGAAGACCTTTATTTTCTTTTGCGGTTTCTATTTTTCTGGCTGCTGGACTTTCAAAAGGCGTGGATTCGGAGTTGGAGGATATAAAACAAAGGTGTCGGGGCTTTTGTTGTCCTTTGGACCGAACGAGTTGGATAGTTGGCACTATACCCTAGTTGTTACAATGCATCTGTATTCTGTCTTGGGGCTGGGAGAGAGACCATAGGGTGTGGCTTGAACCCAGCAGGCGCATAGTAAATGGAAATTACAATACCCAGCTCCACGGCAAAGGGATGGACAATTTGTGCTAGAATGCATGATATCCGACATCTCTGACATGGAGGATGTTGGACAGTGAATGTCGCTCGAGGTCAGAGTGGAGGCTAAAGTGCCAGGGGGTTGGCGCGCCATTCTGCTCATGCGGTAAACCCGTCAGTCCATGTCCCCTTTGAACCCCGTCTTCTTCTGAACGAAGATGGTGAAAGACTCCTGAGTGGTGGCAATGATGGATTGCCACCTCGTTCTGTGCAGTACTTCGTACTTTAACATGTGGTGAAGATGGTACGAGGTAGGGGCCGGCATTCCGAGGACACGGACTTGTGGCTGAGCGCGATGATACCCGAGACATAGGCGAGATTGAGAGCGATCCTGCACGGTTCATCATTACGCCACCAGACTAGGGGAAACCCCTGGCATGGCAGAGCCGGGCGATGACAAGGGTCCGGAAACCGGTTGACAGCGGCAAATATGCTCGTTGCATAAACCCCAGCCGTTTTGTGTCAGAGTGAAAAATGCATGTGCGAGGTGGCGTGAATTACATAGATTATGCAAGGTCGTCAGTGCAGTGACTATGCTGCGGGCGGTCTCGACCGAGAGACGGGATTGAACTCGAGAGGATCCTAAAAATGCCTGCCGACCACGAATACCGGTTTTGTTAAATCGCCGCCCGTCGTGGCTTGTTGGTTTATTATACCCGGCGGCTGGCTGCTGTAATGCTGATTGGGCGCGACGGGCGCGGGGAAACGCAGGCTTGCATAAGTAACGGAGCAAGTAACGTATAGTGGTGTTCTCGACTTGCTGCCGTTGCAACTTGCCTTGTCCTGCCTTGCGGCCTGCCCGGTGCTGTGTACCGTTGTTTGTCTCGTAGGACGTGGCATGGGATGGTGCTATCGGCGGCGCCGTGCTCCTGTGGGTCGGTTGCCGGCCGGGTCCGGGAGCCGAGACCTTAATTACACGGAACCTTGTTTCGGAGGCGATATGGGTTGTATTACGGAGTTCCAGACGGTTCGAGTTTGAGAATTTCGCAAACAACATGAAATAAATGAATAAATAAAATTTGAAAAGGAAATCCGGGGACTTTCCCCCTATTTCCCCTACCTGTAGGTACCTACCGTTGTCCTTTTGTAAATATTAAGATCTCAAACCTTAAGCGGGATGCGGCTTACATGGTAGGTGATATATTATATGTACAGTTCGTGTCCTGTGTTGGAGCCATCTCCACCACGTTAGATTTCTCCCAGATGGATTGGAGAGGTAATCATCTATATTACTGTTTGTGTTTTTCTTACATGGATCATTTCGGCCCCTAACGCTGAAGGCGCAGCCATCTGGAGTTGACCAGGAGTTCTGGGCGGCCAGATGACAGGCACATCTCCAAGGGCAGAGGTTAGCCGGCTTACCCCTTTTCTCCTGTCAAGCGATTCAAAACGTTTCTTCACTTGCCAGCAAGGAATGTAGGGGGTCCTTCCACCGCCAGTCACGAAATATCGAAACAAGTCGCAAGATATCCCAACATTGTGGCGCCAACTGGCCATTGAGCATGAGAGACCAACCGCTTATCTACAATCGTGTTGTAAAACAGTGATGGAGAGCCGTTTAGTAAGAGGGCTCGGCTTTTAAGTTCTACCCGCAGAACAAGTGAGTTGGAACGCTGGCATCGAGCGTTGAGCGGCTCCTCAACTCTGGGGTCCCTTAGAGGCTCGGTCTCATAGAGAACCACATGACACATGCCCAACTGCGAGATAACCCTCTAGGCTCGCCGCTTCACCAATAATCACGGATTTCACCATATTACACCATCATGGAGCTGCACGTTATAATTCCGCATCATGTCCTGTTACTCGGACCTTGAATGCGGCGTGGCGTTGTTTACATTCGTTGAGTCTATATCTCTCAGCCTTCAAAACTCTTGTCAGCACTGGTGAGGGACCTAACAGGTGTCTCTAAGATGGGAATTAGTAGGTCTATTACAAGTCCAGTCCTCTAGTTGGATTATTCTTGCACTTGGCTTGGTAATTAGAGGACCCGTTGGCCTCGTCCCATGATGCCGATGCACGCTTTTCCTGTTATTCTCTTTTACCATCATCCACATTAACTTGTCCACTTCACTTGCCACCTGTCCCTTCTTTCACTGCCATCCACAAGAGACCCAGTGCGCTGAAAGTGCAATAGACACGGTCAGACCGGTGAATGCATCCGGCAGTCTACCACCGGCAACTGGGCTATATTATGATGGCAATATGACTTGACTCTTATAATACGCGGACAGCACCTCCGGGATTCCCTCCTCGGTGGGCTCGTCGCCTTATGCCCCTCTTGGTCTGCAACCACTTGCCTTGGACAGGCCACGAAGTACGAATACCTAGGCGCTGGGTAGTACTGTATGTAATCTGTAACTTGGCGCTTGTGTCGGACGTGATCGACCTTTAACCCTTGGCTTATAATACGCTCGGGTTAATACCTACCTACCTAGACCAGCTCCAGCATCCGGCGACCCCTCTCATCTTACCACTACCATATGTGCGGATCATATTCTTCTCGAATAGCGTTAGACGTGAGTCACTACCTGGGCCTGAATGGTAGGCTCTTCCCCGCCAACTCTCTGAGCCGCCTGGAGCCTGGGTCCGAGTCCCCATTCGGCGCCAGCCTTAACAACACACGCCGCCATGAATGCTGCTATCCAACAAGGAAGAAAAGACGGGGAGGAAAAGGAGGTGGGCCCTCTGTAATGCTACTGACGCCGCACACATCACACAACGTTACACCGGTTGGCCGGGTGCATCTTGGCGGCCGGGCCGCGTCCCGTGACATGTCTTGATAGACAGTGCATGCTCTGTTAGACCACTTCTTCTTCAGTTGAGATGTGACCAAAAGGAATGATGGTGGTTCTGTGCCGATGCCACCTCTATGGCACCATAGCAATTTACGGAGGCTGGTGGCTAGAGGATAGGAGGGCCGAGGGCACCATGATATTCAACATGGACCTCGAACTCTAGGCTGTACAAGTAGCCACAGGATTACAAGAGAGGTGATACTCAAAGTAGAAAAGTCAACAACAGGCCCCCTATGCAGGAAATTGTAAACGGCAGGCAGCTTCAGAGCCCTTATAGCGGTGGTGGCTTTTGGCCTTCGCAACTCGCGTTTCGGACGGAGGCGGTTCCTCGTGTCCCCTGGGTACAAAGGCTTGCAGCAAGACTCCATCAAACCACCTCCTCAGTTCTTACGAGGAGTCAGCTTGGCATAAAGCCCGGGCTTCATCCAATTATTGTATACCGTCAACCCAGGATAGTCCCTATCAGGGTCCCAGGCGTCATTGTTTCCGTGAAACTCAATGTCGTTGTGCCACAGCAGCTTGCCGATTATGAGGCGCATTTCCATGTAAGACAAGCTAATGGTACTGTTAGTGTCTTCCAGATCATAGCATCGTCTTCAGCCGCATCATTTTTTCTTCTTTTTGTTTTTCCACTGGTGAATGGGTCAAGTTCTAGTAGATGAGTCGCCGGGGTGAGACAGAACCTCCCCTCCCCTTTCAGCGAGCGTGATGATGGAGGGGGGAAATAATAAAATACAAAGGACAGGGAAACAGGGCCAAACTCACTTGCGGCCGATACAGCCCCGTGACCCCAGGGAGAAGGCGTTGGAGGCACCGAATTTATCGGCACTGTTTTCCTTGTCCTGCCAACGCTCTGGGATGAAGCGGTAGGGCTCGCGAAAGTTGCGTTCGCTATGTGTGGCACCCCACATGGGTACCGAGACGGTTGTCTGGAAGGATGGCGCGTCAGACTGTCAGTTTGTCTCAGGAGAACGACGAGAGCAACCACGTCGGCGGAAGTACGACTTACCCCACCGGGAATGAACTCCCCGTCAACGGTATCCCCTCCAGCTGGGACGGTCCGAACAAACCCAATAGGGGCACTAGGGAAAATCCGTAGCCCTTCGTCAATGACGGCGCCAAGGTAGGGGAGTTTGCTGAGGTCTTCAAAGTTGAGGTCCTCATCCTTGGCGAAAGAGGAGCGGATTTCGGCAGTGAGCTTGTCGAGGACGCGACGGTTGCGCAGGAGCTGATTGAAGAGCCCGGCCAGGAAGCCTGCGGTTGTCTCGGTGCCAGCAATACTGCGAAACCACCCTTAGCTATCACAATCCTGTCTCGATTAGCTGGGGCGGGGGGTGGCTTACATGAACAGAGCCCCGTTGACAATGACCTCGTCCTGGTTGATGGAGCCCTTGTCGGATTGTTGCATGAGGTAGTAGAGGAAGTCTTTGTGATCAGAATTGGATTCGGCCATGCGCCTAGGAGGAGCCTTAGTGTCAGTTGTGACCGGTCGGATAATGGGCGGAACGGTTCAAGGTCTCCAATTGAGCAACCAAAACCAATATGAGGAGCCGGAACGAAGAGATGTCGTCGGACGGATGGAGACGCACTTGAGAATCTTCTGCTTGCTATACTCGAGATGCTGAATCCGCGTCCTGCGGATGCGGTCCGGGATTAGCTTGAGAAGGAGTTTCTGCATGCGACCATTGGCCTCGGCCAGGCGACGGGTGGCCTGCTCAAAAGCGCCAGCCTTGATAGACTCGCTGATCAGGGGGACCCAGAATCGAAAGTCCTCTGAGAAGGCCGTCAGCAAGCAGAATGTGAACAGCGAACCAGGAAAACAAAGAACAAAACAGCTCGGACAGGGCAACAGAACGAAAGACAAAAGGCGGCGAGTGACAAGATCAAGATCAAGATGGAAGAGAAACAGAGACAGAGATCCGTCATACCATTCGTCAAACAGCCAAACGGCTCGCCCAGAGCCATATCGCCAATGATATCGAACGTCGTGTACGCGAACCAGTCGACCAGGTTGACGGGGGCACCGCTCTTCGCAAACTCCCGCATCTTCAGCGAAAAGACGTCGATGTACGACTTGACGATGTACTCTTGCTCCAGGAGCGCTTTGGTGGAGAAGGCGTGAGAGAGGGCGCGACGCTGGCGGGCGTGGTCGGCGTCGTTGGCCATGGTGATGGTCGACACGCCGGGAACGGCCTGGATGCTGCCGACGTGGATGGGGTCCTTGTGGAAGTTCTTGTGCCCTGGCCGGCTGCCGTATATGTCCTTCCAGGCCGCTTCGTTGTCGAAGGAGAGCTCGTTGGGGGAGACCCGCACGATGGGCCCGTAGCGGTCGTGCTGGGCCTTGATCCAGAAGGGGATGCGGCCGCGAAGGAGGGCGGTGACGTTGGGGAACTGCAGATGCCGACACGGGTTAGTGGAGGTTGTTCGTGGAGGGTGGAATTCTGAAGAGCCATCAGGTAGAGACTGGGAGGCTCTGGGAACCTGGGGAAACTGGCAAGGGAGACGTACGGGAGACACTTTGGCGAGGAACGGGCCAGGGAAGCGCGCAAGAGGGTGACAATATAGGTTGTAGATGACCCTGTAAGCCGCCCATCTCGTGGTCTGCGAGTCGTGTCAGTATAGCTTCGTGTCAGTATAGCTCTATTTTCCTTGGAACGCAAGTTCTCCTTTCTCAACGTTCTTCCACATGTCCCGTAGGGTGAAGAGGAGCCTTACCGATATTATAGCAATGATGCCCACGTAGGCGGCCATGCCCAGGTGCGCAGCAGCTGGTATGGCTTGAATCAACGCCATCCTGTTTTGAAGGGGGATTTCTTTAACGGAGGGATCGCGGTGCGAAAGGCTCGCTCGACCGAACTTGGATCAGCCATGATGGAAGACTTTGTATGATTCAATGCAGTTTGCTGGCCGCTAGGAGGTGAGAAAACCGGCAGTGGTTTTCCAGTGTCCAGTGCGGGGAGTTTCGGACTCGAGCCGCCCGCCACTGCCGGAAGCCAAAGTCCGTAGAAGAACACTGAGATGGGATGGGGGAACATCGCGGGGAAGTGAAGAGAATTGATTTATATAACCCAGCACGGTGTTTGCAGCGATGAAGAGAACAAACAAACCCCGTGATAATACATCGTATGAAGGTGATCTGAATGAATGCCAAGAGCCGCATTCGGATCGAGATCCGTAGCCTCCTGTTCGATCTCAGAACAACATGCCGACGTTTTGGAATCTCGGAGAATCTCGAGAGGCAACAGTGACGACGGATGATTCCTGCATCCAGAAACAAATAAGCAAAAATTAACTCCAAATTCGGCCGAGGTCAAAGTGGAAGGGCCGTGCTGTAACCCGGTCTTGTAGGCCAATCTAATGAGGTTTCCTTCCAGAATGCCTGTTCCCAATATTGTCACCCTAACGCCGTTTCCCACTCTTTGTAGCGCTAATAGATCTCGATATGTGATGTTTCAAATATGGAACTTCCCGGCCGATAATAGATGTCGATGTGTACGTGGATGAGTAACCTTAAAAGGCAAATGCGGCTAGCATGGCGACCCCAATGAGGCCGAAGGCGGGGTGGACGTTGCGCACGGCGTTATTCTCATCGTCGTCGTCGTTTCCTGCGGAGCCAGTGGCGCCACCAATGGTGGACGTTACGATACGGGATGCAGAGTCAACTTCGTCCGAGCTAGGGTTCGTGGCAACGCGGTTGCAAATCATGGGAGCAACCTGGGCGGCCCCTAGAGGAAAAGAAAGAAAAAAGATCAGTCAGTCGCGAGAACACAGCAGAGACGGAAGAAAGGCAGCCACCATTGTGGTGGGATAAACGGAGAAGAGAGGAATTTGGGTTCCGGGTAGAACGTACTGCTAACGTCTTCGGAGCTGCATCTCAACGCAGCGCAGGGTCCCATGGAGGTCACCAGCTGCTCGGAATCGCGGCAGAGACAGGAGAAATCGGTGACGGAACAGCCAATGCTATCGGCGGCCCCGGGGAGACAGCGGGCGGCACAGTCGGGTAGCTCATCAATGAGGGCGGGGAGGCTGCCGGCCTCGTGGCCTGAGTCGTCGTCGGCGTTCTCGGCCTCGGGCTCAGTGGGCGTGGCGGTCTGCTGGGCGCTGTCGGGCAGCCCTACGCCACTGGGGATCTCGACGCCATCGGGGAGCTCGACACCGTCGGGAAGTTCGATTTCGTCGAGATTGATGTTATCGAGATCAATATTGTCCAGGTCGAGGTTCTCCAGATCGATGTTATCGAGGTCGATGCCGTCTGGGATCTCTATTTGGGCGGTGGCCAGGCCGAGGAGGAGGGAGAAGGAGATATGAGCGAAGACGGCGCGCATGATGGCAAAAGGGTCGTAGTATCGGCACCGGTATGCTTTAGGAGTAAACGGAAGTAAAGGATGATTCTTTCGAGAGCTGAATGTCAAGTTGGAGGAATGGGCCTGGTTGATAAGGAGCGAGTTGGGAAAGCAAAGAAATAAAGGGGTTTAGCGAGAGAAAGAATGGGCGAAAACTGGAGAAAACGAGAGAAAGAAGATGACGATTAATGCAACGAAAGACTGGACTGGAAATGTAATGGGTTGGATCTTGAGAAGTACAAGTAAAAAAGGAGGGAGAAGAAGAAATGGAGAGGAGACTAGAAGGTAGAAGAGCTAGAGGATGTCTCTCACTTTGCAAGGTCATCCTGATCATCACCGGACACTGGCCCAATGCCAAGCGTCACCACTGTTGATTACGTACCTTACCTTAGTATGGGGCGCTTACATAAGGTACGTACGAGTAACAATAAGTGTGGTGAGTTAGGTGCTGCTTAGGTCAGGGTGCAACCGTGTGTCTCCATAAGGTACCACCCCTAAGACAGGTACATTGTACTTGTACCTAGATGGCCCCGCTAAGGTACAGAGTCGATCGGATGGACTTTAGCGAAACCTGAAACCCCCTGACCGGGTTCCCTTCATATGCGGGGAATTTCCGACTAGAATGGATTCCCATCGACTTTTTTAAGCAGATCTGTGACGGACGACAACGAAAGTCGTTTGAAACGTTGGTCAAGTTCCGAACAGCGGATAGCTCGGGCGTTTTGCGGGGTCGAGCAGAAACGCTGCTGTTGCTGCAGCCCTCAGCTCTCGATGTAACCCAGAGGCGTTCACGGTCACCCTCGGGCTGGTTCCAACCCCCGATGCCCAGTGGTGGTTGGTCGTTCTCAACTCTCCACTTGTCCTCTGATCCTTCTACTCGTCGTCCAATTTTTATTATATTTTTTGGTTATCGTCTCGGAATGATGATAACAGCATCTTGTCAACTCCCGGATTGTCATTGACCTGCTACAGTAGCGGTTCTTCACCATCCTCCTCCACGAATACACGTAACACAGCTGTCGCAACTCGCATTCACCGCCATGGCCGATCATCAACTCAGCCTGCGGGCACAGCTTCTCGATTGCCTCACCATCGGCCGTGTCATCCTCTCCATCATCCTCTTCTTCATCGGCTCTTTCGTGCTCGACTACACATGGAGGCCCAGCTATCCCTCTTCCATTCCCATGGTGGGCCATGGAAGGGGTCTTGTCAACACCATCCGCAACATCGCCAACTACATGTTCCATTACCGTGAATGGGTCATTGAAGGCTACGAGAAGGTAAGTAACTATATTCTTCCCTATTCTTCTCCTCCTCCGACTGTCGTTGTCTAACGGAGGGAAACCGAAACCTGTGTCTTAGCATTCCAAATCCGATCGTGCCTTCATCATCCCCGCCTCTCTCTCCCGCCCGCACGACATCGTCCTCCCCCGGTCCCAGACCGCATGGCTCCTCGAGCGCCCCGACCACATCGTCTCGGCCCACGAAGCCCACAACGACGTCCTCTACTCCGACTACAATCTCCTCGGCCGAGAAAACGCCCGCACCACCTGGTACAACCGAGTGATCCACAAGTTCCTCGCCCGCAACCTCCCCGTGCTGGTCCCTGGTCTCGACCAAGAAGTCTCCCACTCCGTCGACGTTGCCTTCGGCGCCGGCACCACGCCCGACGATTACAAGGAGGTGAACCTCTGGAACGCCTGGCTGGGCGTCGTCCCGCAGGTCACCAACCGCATGCTCGTCGGCCGGGACATTTGCCGCAACGAAGAGTTCAACAAGAGCATGGTGGCCTTCGTCGACGCCTTCGTCCTCAACTGCCTCATCCTCAACCTGATTCCCAAGATCCTCCACCCCGTCTTCGGCCGCCTGGTCACCACCCCGAACTGGTGGCACTGGCGGAAAGCCACCAAGCACAGCGTCCCCGTCATCGAGAAGCGCCTGCGCGACTTTGCGCGCAAGGAGGCAGGGGACCCGGCCTACGACTCGTGGACCCCGCCCGAGGACTTCATCACCTGGACCATCCGGCTCGCCAAGGCCGAAAACGCCACGGCCGAACTCGACCCGTACACCATCTCCAAGCGCCTCCTCCCCATCCAGTTCGCCGCCATCCACACCACCGTCCTCACGGGCCACGGCGTGCTGCTGGACCTCCTGTCGTCCGACCCGGCGGACGGCGTCCTGGAGGGCCTCCGCGAGGAAGCGGCGCGCGTGCTCGCCGAGGACGGCGAAGACGGGCAAGACGGGCAAGACGGGCAGGGCGGCGGGCGGCGCTGGACCAAGAACGCGCTGGCGCGCCTGTACCGCCTCGACAGCGCCATCCGCGAGTCGCAGCGCGTCAGCAACTTCTCCGCCACCCTCGTCGAGCGCAAGGTCGTCGCCCCCGAGGGCCTGACGAACCCCGCCGAGGGCTGGCATGTGCCCCAGGGCGCCTACCTCACGTTCAATCTCCAGGGGCTGCACCACGACCCGGAGCTCTACGACCGGCCTGAGGAGTATGATGCGTTTCGGTTCAGTCGGCCGCGCGAGGCGTACGAGGCCCTCCCCGCGGAGAAGAAGGATCCGGAGGAGGGGTTGCGGTTGAAGAAGTTGGGCATGGTTACGACGGGGGATGCGCATTTGGCTTTTGGGCATGGTCGGCATGCTTGGTATGTTCTCACCTCTCACCTCTCCCTCCCCCCTGGTCTAGTATTTTTCGTCTCGAGACTCTCCGAGTCGTAATGATCTGACATCTTGTGGCGTGTAGCCCCGGCCGGTTTTTCGTTGCCCATGAGCTGAAGATGGTAATTGCCCACCTCCTGCTCAACTACGATCTCCGCCACTTGACTGGCGAACGTCCGAGGCCGAAGTGGGTTGGGGGGACCATCATTCCACCTACGGAGGCTACCATCCAAATCAAGAAGAGGAAGGCGGCCACAGCAGCATAAACCAACTGCTGAGGCCGGTTCTGTCGCATGGGATGTACGATAATGATTTAATGTCCCTTTATTTCGAGCTAGCGAGTTTTCTTCAGGATTGCCTAGATACCATTCATCTAATGCAGATTTTATGATTGCTCTCTTTTTGCGTAAATGAGAGTTATTCTATTCACTACCGCAACAACCACTTGGATTTCTTTTTATTATTATTATTATTATTATTATTATTATTATTATTATTATTACTGTTCTTCAGATCTGGAGACCACAGTTAGATAAGGTACCTAGGTAGGATGCAGGACCCTAAGTCTTATATTTGGAACCTGTTGACCTCAGTACATAATATAAGGTGCTTAGCCAGTAAGGGGGACAAGCCTCTTCCTTCCTTTGTAGATTATTTATACAGGGTAACCTGTTAAACCTTCACCATGGTCCATGGATGCCTGGGTTCATGTCATGTGAAGCGCGCTCCTTCCTGGGTAGCAGCTTCCTTATTGAAGCATAGGTACGTTATAAGGTCACGAGCAGTAACTAAGGTAGGTACTATGGGAATTACGAGATCAGGGGACTTTTCTTAATTACCTTCCCTCGCTTTCTCCTATCCTATTCCTCTATCTTCTTATCTCTTAATGCCTTCTTCACCTTCCTACCACGCAAGACAGATTTCGACCTTTCATTCCTTTGGTAATCTCTGATTTCAGAACACATACCACTCACTTAACGTCACTCTTTTCAACTACCTTTCAACCTTCAGTCTTCAGACTTCACCACAATCCTTTATTGTTTCTAACCTCCACGAATTATCCTTCTATGCCCTTGTTATCGCTCTCATCTACCAAGTTGGATATTAATATTCCAGCGCGCGGCAGGTGTCAAGATGGTCCGTTTACTTTACGGGATGGGCCGTTTAGCTCACCTATTACACTCGTTGCTGATCATCTCCACCTTGCTCAACTTTGCTTTCTCAGCATCTGGTTATCCTGTCTTTGACCCCCCTGCTACTCCCCGTGCCGCCCTCGTTGCCCTAGTCGAGAATGGCGATATGGAGGCAATGGTGTCCACCATCAACCAGATGGAAACCCACTTCAATGGACCCTATGGCTACGACTGGACCCTCTTCAGCCATGAGGAACTCTCTCTCGAGTTTAAGCAGGCCGCTTCCAATGCCACACATGCTGCTGTCACTTTCGATATCATCCCAGAGGAGCACTGGTCTGTTCCTGCCTGGATCGATCTCCATCGTTACGAGTCCCGTCACAGCCTTCCGTAGGAGGGAGGCTGTCATGGTCACAGCGGTGTCAACGGAGGAGCCTACCACCATAAAGCCCGTTGGAATGCCGGTCTCTTTGCACGGGAGCCCCGCCTTCGATTCTATGACTGGTACTGGAAAGTTGAGCCTGGAGTAAGTGCAGAAAATGCAGAAACACTGATGTAATCTTGAGACCTTGGGTCTTCAGTTAATCAGTACGTTGATGCATATTTACAGACACAGATTACGCACGACTTCAACTTTGACGTTTTCCGTACCATGCACGATGAGCGCTACTACTTCGGTCTGAATAGCTTTCCAAAAATCTCCCCCGAGGCTTCGCAGATGCTGCTGGAGACTGTCACGCAGTTCATGGACGAGCACCGCGAGATTGTCTGGCCCATAGCCGACATTGCCTGGCTCAACACCTCGAACACCCAACGCCATGTCAATGCAAAACCTGCACCCCGGAAGCAACAGCAACTGCAGCAAGATTCTTACAAGGAAGGGGCCCATCTGGCCGTTGGAGATCACAATCAGACAGGACTTGGCTTCGCTGCTGCAGACGATATCGCCGACAATGGTTCTCAAGAGCTTGGTAGCAAAACTGGCAGCTCTGCGGTCACGTACAGCAGCATCTTTTCACGATGTCCCGAGGCGGGGTCCACTCAGTGCCCCCGTGAGACGCCCTTCGAGCTAGGAAGTCTCCATACTTTCAGAAGCCCCGAGTACATCAAGTTCTTCAACCACCTCGACTCCCTCGGCGAGTTCTACTACAACCACATCGGCGACGTCCCCATCCGCTCCATCGGCGCCACTCTTTTCGTGCTCGAGCGATGGGTCTGGCTCCTCCCCGACACCGAGTGCAAGGTCGGCGAATATTGCCCGCCCGAGCTTAATCTCGGCGAGGTCAGCTTCTTAGCCAGCATCAACGGCGGTGATATTTTTGGCTGGGACGAAGATTATGTTCGCTTCGTCAAGAACAATCTCCTCCTCTGGGTCCAACCCTGGAACGCCATCCTCGAGGACTTTCGCCGACAAGACGAGGTCCCGGCCCCGCCTCTGGGCCACACGACCCTCGACGACCGCAACCAGGAGCCAATTTGGGACTGGCATATCAAAATTTACTTATTCAAAGAGTGGGTTCGCACGTGGACCCTGATCAATGTTGACCTGGAGCTGGAGCCCTTTGACATACCCGGTAACGAAGCCCCGCAGACGACGGATGTCCCAGCTGAGAAGAAATCGCTACTGAGCTTCCTGGAAGAGAAGTTAATCAAGCCCCACGTCGATAACTACCGCATTTACGGGGATGAATTTGGGAATATCTGATCCTTCTGCTACGGCGATTTCCCTTTCCAAATTCCCGGTGTAATACATCAACTCGACTAACACTGCAAATACGGTTGAGAATAGAGAAAGTCATGGCAAATTCGTTATACCTGTCCAGTCTCATATATAATCAGTGTCTTTTCATGACGGACGATAACATGGTCGTTTGACCGCTTGTGACACTCGTGCTGAATTCAGGGGCCATTCAGGGTAATTTGGGGGGTTGCCAGTTGGTACCAGGTGATAGCCCCTGGTGCGGACCTCATATCCACTGACCCCTGACCGACGGCGACGGCGACGAGAACCATAGGTACGAGTTTGTATGAGATATCTCACGAGCACTTTAAGAGAGAGAGAAAACGGCTTGAACGTTCTCGGTAATAATGCCGAAGTTCACGTCACACCCGGACCTACGGTTGACGGTTGTGGCTTCGGCATTCGACGCCCCGAGCCGAACTGCGCGCTCAGTGGTGCGGTTATGGCACAATCCCCGTCACGGCACTTGGTCGGTCGTAATCCTTCGTCAAGTCTGTTCCGAAGATGGCCAAGCTTGCGCGTGCGCAATGGCTAGCGGAGTAGGTGGAGGTAAGCGATAGCCGACGGATTATGTCCAAGCGAGAGAGGGGGCTTTGCGTCTGGGCCATGTCGATCGATATAAAAGCTGGTTGATTCTGGCCTGCGGATCATGCTTGATCTTGGAAGTGCCGTCTTCCGTGGCACCAGGTCAACAACTGGACGACGTAGGACCCGTCTACCGATATAACGACCCAACGACCGACCCTACTCGTGCCTCACAGCTACAAAGCCGCGACGCGGTACACCTCCTCACAATGTTCACCTCCTGGCGAGACGTGGTTCGTGCAACGACAACGGCACTCGTTGTCGGGCTCGCCATCCTCGCCGGTCCCCGATCGGCCGCCGCCTCACCCTCGCCAGCCGTCAGCTACACCAACACGCTCATCCACCAGCGCGCGGACCCGCACATCGTCAAGCACACCGACGGATGGTACTACTTCACAGCCACGGTGCCCGAGTACGACCGCATCATCCTGCGGCGGGCCGAGACGATCCAGGGCCTCAGCGGCGCGGAGGAAGTCGTCGTCTGGGACCGCGACGCGTCCGGCACGGGGGTAGGCTACGTCTGGGCGCCCGAGCTGCACCACATCGACGGCAAGTGGTACGTCCACTTCGCGCTGGGGATCCGCGACGCCTTCGACATCCGGCCCTTCGTCATCGAGGGCACGGGGGCGAACCCGCTGACGGCGGACTGGGTCGAGAAGGGCGTGGTGAGGACGAACTGGGAGACCTTCTCGCTGGACGCCACCACCTTCGTCGCCAACGGCACGCGGTACCTCTGCTGGGCGCAGAACGACCCCACCACGGGCGACAGCGGCACGAGCTTGCTCCTCGCCCCGATGGAGAACCCCTGGACGCTCCGCCTGCCGGCCGTGGTCATCTCCCGGCCCGAATACCCCTGGGAGCGCGTCGGGCATAACGTCAACGAGGGCGCGTACGTCGTCGAGCGCAACGGGAGGCTGTACATGCCCTACTCGGCGGCGGCGACGGATCATAACTACGCCGTCGGGATGCTGAGCGCCGATGCTGACGCCGACCTCATGGACCCGGCTTCGTGGGAGAAGGCCTCCGAGCCGCTGTTCGTTAGTAACGCGCTCACGGGCCAGTGGGGTCCCGGCCACCACACGTTCACGGTCTCCGAGGACGGGCTGAGCGACCTGATCGTCTACCACGCCCGCAACTACAGCAGGGTGGTGGGCGAGCCGCTGAACAACCCGGACCGCCATACCCGCGTGCAAAAGGTCTACTGGGGAGCGGACGGCACGCCTGATTTCGGGATCCCCGTCCCTGACGGCCCTACGCCTTTCCGTTTCCGCTCCCACAATGACGAGACGCTGTATACTCGCCACGGGGCAGACGGCGGGGGTCCCGTGTCGCTCCACCTCGCGGCGGATCGCCCGGTTCGGGAGACGCAGTTCCGGGTGGTGAGCCCCGGGTTTGCGGGCGAGGGAACGGTGAGCCTCGAGGCGGCTAGCCACCCTGGCGAGTTTCTCCGGGATAAGAATGGGATTGTCGAGTTGGCGCCCCAGGGCGACCAGGATACGACGCCCGCGAGCGCCAGTTTCGTTCAGGTGGAGGGTCTGGCTGATGGCGAGGGGGTGTCGTTTGCCCTGGCGAATGATCGAGCGAGGTATATCCGGAGTCGGGCGGACAGGCTCCTCGTCGTCGCACCGGTGAACGGAGCGGGGGAGGCCGCCAGTTTGGCAACGTTTTATACCGAGTGATGAATGGTTTTACGAGGACTAACATCACTAGAAGATGGGCGAGTTAGTCAATAGATGAATTTTTCGCATTGGAGACTTGGAAGTGAGTTTGTCGCTTAGCTGCTCGATGTTTATGTCGCTCGTGGAGGTGATGTGCCGGATGGTGGGTCAATAACTCCGCGGCAACTTGAGCACCTTCTCGCTGATAAAGTTCAGGATCATCTCTCGGCTCACCGGTGCAATGCGCGGCACCAGAGACTCCCTGAACCACCGTTCGACATCGTACTCGACGGCGTACCCCATCCCGCCATGGGCCAAGACGGCCCTCTCGCAAGCCGCAAAGGCGGCCTCGGCCGCAAGGTACTTGGCGCTGTTCGCGGCCACAGCGACGTCGTGGACGCTGACGGAACCGTCGCCGCCCCTGCTGGCGTCATACAGCCTGGCCGCGTGGTAGGTAGCCAGCTTGGCCGCTTCGAGACGCATGTACGCGTCGGCCAGGGGATGCGCGACGGATTGGTTCATGCCGATGGGGCGCCGGAACACGACGCGCTCCTTGGCGTAGGTGGCGGCCTTGGCCAGGGCGGCGTAGCCCAGCCCGAGGGCCTCGCCGGCGAGGAGACACCGCTCGGCGTTCATGCCGTGGAGGATCATCTTGAAGCCGTTGCCTTCGTCGCCGATGAGAGAGGAGCTGGGCACGCGGTAGTCGTCGAAGAAGACCTCGTTGGCGTCGACGGCGCGGCCTCCCATCTTCTTGATCCTGCGGATGTCGAGGCCTGGTTTGTCTCTGTCGAGATGGATGAAGAAGAGGGAAAGAGAGTCGGGTGCGGTGCGCGCTAAGAGGACCATCTTGGCCGCGACCTGGGCGCAGGTGATCCAGATTTTCTTCCCCGTGATGCTGTACGATCCGTCTTTGCGTTTGGTGGCCGTGGTCGATAGAGATAAGGTGTCGAGTCCCGCGTCGGGCTCGGTCACGCCGAAACAGACGCGCCATTTCCCGGAAACGACGTTGGGGATCGCCGTCTCGAGCTGGGGCTGGGACGCGAAGGCGGCCAGGGGTTGGGTGGCGTAGACGTTGGCGTGGACGGACTGCGCGCCCGCCATGCCTGCGCCGGATTCCGTGATGGCCTGCATCATCATGGTCGCCTCGGAGATGCCCAGCCCGGCGCCGCCGAGAGACTCGGGGAGCGCGATGCCCAGCCAGCCGTCCTTGGCCAGGGCGGCGTGGAAGTCTTTCGGATCGGTCTCGGTTTGGTCTCGTTCCTGCCAGTATGTGTTGGGGAACTCGGAGCAGATTCGGCCAATGGCCTCCCTTACCATGATCTGGTTCTCGGTAAACCCAGCCATGCTCATTATGCCCCTTGTCCCTGGTGAGGGGATAGCTGTGATTCTTCTCATCGGTCGAGCGGACTCGGAGTATGGGACTGAGGAACATGGGGGGAACCGTGAGATGGGAGGCCGAGTAAACCGTTGGAGCTGGGAGCATAGTGTCCGCGACATCTTCGAACAATTGCAGACGTAGAATGAAGGAGAGCTATAGCATTACAAACCATGCTTAACATCGAACTCGAGGTAATAATGGTGGTATTGCCTTGAGGGTAGATAGTAGACTCGTGGGTAAGTCGGGAGTCGGGAGTCGTGACTCGGGAACTTGTCAGGGGTCTGAGGTTCCAGGATCACGTGTTATCATTGATCTTGCAATTGATGAGTAAGCATATAATTATGTAATCCTCTCTGCTTCGCTGGTACCCTACGAATACAGGAATCGAAGGCGGAACACAAACAGCACAGCCAAAACAGGTGCTGCAGCTTTGTTGAATTCATGTTGGGAGTTGATATGATCCAAAGGGGCGCAGAATCAGGGATTGTATGGTTTGTCTTCTGTCCTCAGCCTCGGTGTTCAGTTCAACATTAGTGTACCTGTAATTATATGTAAGGTAAGGTAGGTACCACAAAACGAAGGTGAGAAAGGTGGGTCGAGAGAAGCCAACCAGATCATTCTAGAAAACGTCACGTGAGACATGTTTCGTAATCATGTCCTTTCTGGAAATCCAAGAGTTGTTCCTCGCATCATACCGGTACATGCACCTTCAATGAACCTACCAGGCTACCAGCTGCGGACTCCGCCTCCTCTGCACCTCACTTTGTCTCAGTTCGTTGAGAAATCACCAGCTATAAGTCAATCTTTGTTGGTTCCGTTGGGTTCAACTCGAGTTCCACCGCTGCCCGTCGTGTCCCAAGATCCCAACTGCCATCCAATGCCATTAAACTCGACCTCGTCTTCCCCTCGTGAAGATGGACCATACCCAGCATCCGCGGATATCCTGCCCGCGGTGATCTCTCTCCAAAATCCCACCGTCGCCTACCGATACGGCTGGGAGTTTGTATGGGGCGTCGGCGTGACTGGTCGACTCGCACTCCATCATCCACCTCCCCGCCGGCGAGTACAGGTTCTCATGGCGACTCCACATGGGATCCTGGTGCGATCCCGGCCGTCGTTGGCATCCCTGACCCATGGTGGAAAGTGGCTCGTTCCTCTTCACCTGTATCTTTGGGGGTTTTACCATGGTCTCTATTCTCATCCGTTAAGGGTTGTTGCTAAACGGTCTCCCTTACGCTTTAATGTTCCCTCGGGTGTCTGTCTCGCGTCACATGGTTGTCATGATTATTATGAATGCATTCCCCTTTGTTACCACGCTCAGATCAATTTCACCAGTGACAAATGTCACCTCTCAAGGTAAGCAAAGCCAGTTGGCCGTCTTATCTAACTACCTCCGTGGCTGCTGGCTGGAATCAAGCCCAGCCGAATCCCCATGACCCATCTGGCCTTGGCCTCGCGATTGCCCGTACCGCGGTGCATTCACACCTCCCTGCATGTGTGGTCCGTAACCCACGGGAGACTGACCCTCCAATTCCGACGGCAGCCGCTGTGTCTGTCTGTTCCGTCGCCCCTGTCTAGGATACGCCGCCGGCGCCAAATGGCCCTGCAACTCCGCAGGCGGGGCCTGCTGCGACCCATACACCTCAGGCGGCATAGGTATCTGCGTCTCCGGATGGAGCTCGGAGATCCGCCCCTGGCCGTGCAGCTCCACGGGCGGGGCCTGCTGCGACCCATACACCTCGGGCGGCATGGGCGTGTGCGTCTCCGAATGAAGCTCGGAGATCGCGCCCTGGATGCTAAGCTCGGCCTTGTCGTCCCAGGGACCTGGCTCGTCTGGGACCGAGGCAGCAGGGGCCGCAGGGGTCGCCGCATTGGCTTGTTGCTTGCGACGAATGAACCAGACGAGGCCGACGGTGATGAGGAGGACAGCCACGCCGCCTACTGCGCCGCCTACGATGACGCCAATATTGGGTCCCGAGCCCGCCGAACCGTCGTCAGAATCATCACCATCGCCGTTGCCGGTTGGCTCGGTGCCGCTGGATGCCGTGCGGCTTGCCCCGTTCTCGGCAGTGGGGATTTTTCGCGAAGCTGCAACAACAAAAGTTAGCGATGCTTTACGTTTTGAATCGGGAAGTTGAAAGGGAAGGGACCAAAAGAGTGACGAAAAAAAAGGTGGGGGGGAGAGAGAGTTGGAGGAAGAGAGAGAGTGGGAGGAAGAGAGAAGGGGGGGAAACATACGGGACGAATCAGCGGTGGCCACGACGTCGCCCCGGGCAGCGGAGCAATAAAAGTCAAAGACTGCAACGGCGGAGCGAACGGCGGAGCGGACGGGATCGCCCTCCCCCAACACCGAGCCGCAGAGTTCCGACGCCGCAGAGCGCACAGACGTCGAGACGACACTGTGCTTGGTCTCCCTGAGACAAATGCACGACGCGAGGGCCTGGGGCCCCTGGGGACACAACGAAGACGTCTGGCGTCGGAAGGCGACCGAGACGGCCGACTGGGCGCAGGGCAGCAGAGAGCTGTACTGGTCGAGCGCGGCGATGTGGGAGGGCATGTCGCCTGGTGGCGAAGACGGCGTGGGGAGGTGGGTGATGCCGCTGACCATGTTGCAGTAGGCGGAGAAGAACTGATGGGCGGACGACACGTCTTCTTGGGCGTTGCAGCTGAACATGGCGTCCCTGTTGATTTGGCGGCTGATCCGGCGCGAGTTGTCGTTTTTGGTGCACATGCAGGGCGCGTACAGGCTGACGATCTGGGGACAGTACGGCGACTATCGTGGGGCTAGTGTCAGTACCGCAAAGGGGTGTAGAGGGCATATGAAGAAGAGTCCCTGTCATATCATAATGACAAGACTCAAGAGGTTCATACGTACCATGAGGGACACAGCATCGGTCAGGGCACCCTGGACGCATTGCGCGAGGCTGCTATACTGGGGTACTTCGGTGATCATCTGGCGCACAATGTTGAAGGAGGGGGTTGGGAGTTGAAATATGCGCGTCGGGGTACAGTAGGCTTGGAAGACGATGTCGGCGCTCGTCCTGTCCTCCGTCGCCGTTGCGCCGCAGTTGAAGGTGACGCCGAAGGCGATGGAAGCGGCCATGGCCTGGGAGTTGTTGCCATCCGTGCAGACACACGATTGCAGCTCGCTAGCATCACTGCCGCAGGAAGAGGTCATGACCCCGACTGTGGACAGGGCGGATTGAGCGCATGGTGCCTGAGAGGGGATGTCAGTAGTGCTCTCACTGCGCGACATAAGAAGAGAGGGGCCACGGCCCACGGGTCAATGTGATTATGTGAACGCACCAAGAGAGAATAGATGTCCAACTGGGTGATGTATGGTACATTTTGCGCGAGAACGGCGGCAGAGGAAATCGTGAGCGAAAGTAACAGGTAGGGAAGAGGAGGAGGCGGCATGCTGAAGTCGGCGAAGAAATTGACCGCAAAGGTCCGATATCAAGGGTTTTTTTTTTTTTTCTCCCCGGGGACATTAGGCGGCGGGTCAAGTGTCGCGTCAACAGGTTGTCGGACGCGATGTCGACTTTGAGCATGCGATGATGCGATACTCGAGGATCAGCAGAGGAAGTGAAATTGAAGTGGAAAGACTCCCCAGCCCGTACCAAGATGGGGGAACCAAGGCGCCCAGTCGATCTCCATGGGAAAAAAAAAATCTGGGGATTGCGGCGTCAGTTCCGTGTTTTCTCCAGGAGGGGCGATAATACACGCGAAGAACGGGATGACCCCGGTGGTTGAATTCGGGTAGCAGTATCCTGTATGTCCCCTGTCCGGTATCCCGGCGACGCCTGTGCTATTTAGGAAAGGTTTGCCAAGGGATCCGAGATGAGTCTGTGCCCGTTAAGGAATCGGCTTCGTAAATAGGGCTTGATACAAGGCGAATTCGTATTAATCTTAAATCCTACGTCTTAGTTAATTGACAACACTAACGTCTTTGTGTCCGCGACCTCACGATATACCGGGCTGGGACCTTAGGCCATAACAGGCATAGACTCTAACTTCGGATCCCTTGGCAAACCTATCCTAAATAGTATAGGAGTCGTCGGAATACCGAACAGGGGACATACAGCATACAACTACTCGTTGAATTCGGACGCAATCTTACAAACCGCGACCCCTGCATGATGAATCAAGGCGATCCGCAAGGCAGACGCCCCTTTTTCCAGATGCCAAGGTACCAAAGCCTTCCATGCAGCCCGATTCGGGTCAGGGGTCACAATGCAGTTAGCCATGGCGATTACTGATAAAGAAAGGCTTGCTGGCGTGGAACTACTAACGCAAATCGGGCCTCTGGTGTACCCTCTCCCAGGGACGGCTTCATGAGGTCCAGCATGCAGCCTCGTCGGCATCGCCGCCTCAATTTCACATGTGGATAGATTGCCGATTGCATGAAATACGGAAAAGGCGTAATAAATATCGATGTTGGAAAAGGCCTTCGCGCTTCCTTTGGCAATAGGGACTATAGTATATCGCCAGCTATTGGCTGAAAGGAGGAAGTTGTGCGTCCGTCTCTTATGACTGTCGATGAAAGAGGAAATATTAATAAGCTGCGGAACAGGGCAATTGATGAGAAAAAGGGGCTGCTTAAAATAGAGAATCATGGAATTTGGTATCGCCGTTCCGCGGGTATTACTCAGCAGTCCCTCTGCTTGCCGGATTGAGATTCTCAGGCCCCTCCGGGTCCGCGTCCGCGTCCGGGGACCGACCGGCAGCATTTGGTCTCCACTTTTCCGTTTAACCCAATTCCCGGATTAGACGACAGTCTCTGGTCTCAACTGGTTTCTCACCTCCCTCCCTCATCCTCCTTCTCACAAAGTTAGGAACTCAATATATTCCAAGAATAGAACTATATAGTACCTACCCCTAAATCCAATTAGTAACTCATACATGATAATGCGTTAGATTGCCCAAACTGCAGATCTCAGATCGATCCGGACGAGCCATTGGTGTCTTGGTAAGTTCTTGGGCCTTGGCTATATTCAGACCCTGGGCCTTCTATTCATATATCCAGATTATCAAGACTCCAACGATTCCAAATTACCACCGGGTCCTAAAGTCCTATAACAGGCCCTCTTCCAGTCAACCAACCGCATTATGGACGTCTCCCATTTAGACAGAACAGTTTGAATAGTACCTACTATATTTACCTTTTTTTTCTCTCTCCTTGTTCTTCGTTATACCCAGTTCCTACTCGCCCCGAGTATAGGATATTTTGCGTTTATAGATATATTTGGAGGTTTAATACCGCCTACCTGCTGGCTTCTTTCTCTGTTGAACAGTCTAGTCACAGGTAACTTGTAAGAAGCCAAGAATCGTCCCTGCCATCTCATAACCTGTGCTCTTGCTTCATCTCTGTCTGATGGCACGGCCACCCTTATTTCGGATTCTGTTCCTTCCTATACAACGTACTTCCTTGCTTAGTACTCCACTCGCTCCTGTCAACCAGAAGCCCCGAAAAGAAAAAAGACGGTATTCTTCTGTTGCCCTCGATCTTTCCAAAATCCCACAATATCAACTCTCTTCTCCTCCACCCTTCTTCACCTTTCTAACCTTCTTGACGTCTTTCGGTCATTACCATTCCAAAGATAACGCCCTCAAGCGCTCTCACTTTGACAATTTAACCCCTGCATCAACCTTCAACGTCATCTCCTTCTACGCAATTTTTCTTTCTGTTAAAGAACAACAGACAACGAGGACTATCAACATCACCACGATGGACCTCGGCGCCCAAGACAAGTGCCATTCTGGCAACGCCAGCGACAGACCCAAACCAACTGTGTTCCACACGTTTATTTCCACCACTTTTGCTCTCGTAGCTTTCTTCGCTCTGTGTGAGGTTGCCGTCCGCGGCGCGTTCCCCTTCAACCATCTCGCAGCTCTTCTCTCCTCTTGCTGCTCTATTGAGTTTGTCAGCACTGTTGTCCTCCTTCTTCTCTTTCTTCTCTTCCTCCCGTCGTCCGCCTTTACTCCTCGCAACGTTAAGAACGAGAGCCCCGCTCAATTGCCCGCTCATCGGCGTCAGTCCCTGGAGAAAACCCAAGACGTCCCTTCCTCCCCGTCGACATCCACTGGGGTTCAAGCTGGCGCGAGCTTCACCAAGCTCACCACCTCAGGCGGCGCACTATGCACCCGACCACGCGCAACGTGTGAGGCCGTCGACGCCATGCGTACGAAGGAACAGGCCGAGGTCGACAGGCTCGACGATCAGCTCTGGCATGTCCAGCTTCAAATCACATCTGCCTTCACAGCCAAGGTAGACGCAGAGAAACGGGCGGCTTTGGCGGAGAAGAGAGCCGACGACGCCATTGCCGCTGCAAAGAAGGAGGCGGAAGACCGTATAAACCGAGTGATTGACGATGCTCAGGAGAAGTTGAAGCAGATTCAAGCCGAGGCTGATCGCGAAGGGGCCGCTGCCCACGAAAAAGCGGATTTACATTGCGAAGAGATCAAGATGAAGAACAAGAAGATTGCGGAGCTGGAAGAGGAACTCTGCCTCTTCAAGCGAGATGCCGTGGCGCCTCAGACTGTTGGGGGCTTGCGTCAGAAGAACCACGCTCTGGAAGAAGAAAGCAAACCACTTTGCGCCAGCTCGACTACTAGCACTCCTCCTACTCCTCCTCATGGTGGCACGAACAAGTCTGTCTCGGAGCAGGGCTCAGGGGTCCGCACACCTCCCACACATTCCCAATCCAACCCAGACAACCAGTCTCACTCTAGTACCCCTTCCAGCGCTAAGAGCAAATCGTCCATGTCGCCACTCGATGATATGAGTCCGACTACCAAAAAGAGGAATACCTCGCCTAGTCGACCTCTCTCTTTCTCCCCCACTCTGTCAACTCCCACTATTTCTCATGCGACCATGGCCACGTCCACAAAATCCATGTTCGAGCAGGCAGCCGCATCAGCTAACAAGCTGATCTCTTCGTCTGTCCTTCCTCCGGCTCTTCCCTTCTCTGCTTCAGCCCCCGCTCACGTCGGTTCCTCGGCTGCCGGTCATGGAAAGTCGCTCTTTGGTCGCGTTACGTATCCCCCGGGCCATACGCATGCTGGTCAGTCCTGGGGTTCGGCCCACAATGCGGTTATGAATTCGAAGGCAGAGCAGCCGATGGATGGAGTAAAGGCGGATTGGGAAGATGAAGACGTTGACTGGCAAGATATCCTTTGAGTTTTTGTGGAGTATAAGTCTGCGGAAGGATCTGGGTCTCCAAGGTTGTGAATGTGTTTATGAAACTGTAATAAGCAGTGGAGTTTCTGGCATTGTTCTTTGGACTTGGATTGCTTCTTGGGTTGCTTCTTGATACTCCAATCTCCTATTAGTTGGCCTGCTACTTGGAAGCAGCCGGGTGGGTGTCTTTACATGTAGTTCCAGATCCGATAGGGATTAGATACAGGATGTTCTCAAGAACTCATAATCCATTGACCCATGAACTATACTATACACCTTGAACGCTTTGAACTTTGCAGTTGGAACCGACTCTCATATGTAACTATACATATGTAACTAGGCCTATATGTAACATGTTCCTGGAAATTGGAATTTAGAAAGCTGGCAAGTTGTTGGTTTACTGTCAATGTACATCGATAATGTACGTCTCTCTGTGTGGGAGAGTACTGACCCGACCGGACTTGCTTATCCGAGACCGCGTCATTCAAACTCCGCTCCCCTTCCCCGATCCGGTCCCGAATTCCGATCCGCAAGGAGTGCACGGAGTAAACAACCCGCGGGGACATTAGTCAGTCACATGATGGCCCTTATTAATAATGATCATAATTAATAATAATTTGATTTATTACGTCTTGCGACGTAGTCTGCCCCGCGATATTTTCATGCCACCGTTTCGTATCAGTCACGACGAACAACTTGGGAAGAGAACATACAAGATAGCCAGAACATCCCAAGCACGAGGTCTTAGCTACGATAACCAAATATCAGACGGCGCCCTTCCAATTAGTTTCCATCCTACGAATTTACAGCCAAAGTCTAAAGATCAACATGACGACCAGCCCCATCCGGATAGCCCTGATCGGCCTCTCCGCAAATTCTGGCTCCGCCTGGGCAGCCGGAGCTCACCTCCCCTATCTCATCTCCCCCCGGGGCAAAAAGCACTACACCATCGTCGCCCTCCTGAACTCTTCCCCCGCCGCCGCCCTCGCCGCCCGGGACTTCTTTCACCTCCCCGCCTCCGTCAAGACCTACGGCGACCCGGAAGCCCTCGCAGCCGACCCAGACATCGACCTAGTCGTCTGCATCACCCGCGTGGACATCCATTTCCCGACCATCGCCCCCAGCCTGCGCGCCGGCAAACCCGTCTACGTCGAGTGGCCGCTCACCGACAACCTACCCCGCGCGCTCGAGCTAGAACGTCTCTCCGACAAAACCGCCTGGGAAAGCAGCATCCTGGGCCTCCAAGGCCGCGTCGACCCCGTCGTCCTGAAGCTCGCCAGCCTGCTGCGCGAGGGGCGAATCGGCAAGGTCCTAAGCAGCGACGTGAGGGCGTGGGACGCCATGCTGCCGCGGGACCAGGTGCCGCAGGTCGTCGAGTACCTCTCGCAGAGGAAAGTGGGCGGGAACCGCGTCACGATTGCCTACGCGCACTTCATCGACAGCGTGCACTCGGTGCTGGGCGAGTTCGACGGGTTCCAGGCCCGGGTCCAGCTTCGGCGGCCCGAAATCGACGTCGTGGACGGGTTCCCCACGGGGAACGTCGTGCGGAAGACCGCCACGGATGTGCCTGACTTGGTCGCTGTCCACGGCGCGCTGAAGGGCAAGGACTACGTTGCCGACCGTGCTACCTTGACCGCGGCTATTCGGTCGGGGCCTCCGTTCAAGGGTGACCCGGCGTTCGTGTGGTCCATCCATGGCGAGAAGGGGGAGATGCAGTTCACCATTCCCACGGGGCCGTATCTCCAAGTCGGGCACGAAAAGGGTCAGGTCTCGGTCAAGGTCCATGATTTTGCCACGGACACCGTCGAGGACGTTGAGTGGGACTGGCAGGATTGGCAGAAGGAGCTGCCGCTCAGGGCACGCGACGTCGGCGAATTGTACGAGCGGTATGCTGCTTGGGTTGAAGGTGGCAAGGGTAAGATGGAGGAGGGCAGAGAGTTTACCACTGTCGCGAGCGGGATGGCTCGGATGAGAGAGACGAATGAGGTTCTTGCGCAGTTTGACCAGCAGCAGTCTTGATTCTGGGACCTAATTGCCTTGGCTTGTCAGTTGAGGACTTGAGGTGAGGTAAAGGTCCTCTTTTATATTTTAAATAGGTCCATGAGAACAAGTTGAGCGCTTTGAAGGGACTCGGAGTCTCGAGAGGTTGAAGGTCTGGGAAATAGTCAAACTCCATTTCTTGATATGGTACTGTGTGTAAGTGAACAGAGACTCTTGGGTGATGATTGCATGATTATATTACCCTTAAGCGCCGCCGGACGCCTCGGGCACGGCAGTAATATTTGTGAGGATGTGGACATTATCTAACTTCTCCTCAGTAGTGAGAAAGTAATAAGCCTTGGGCTACAGCCTACGGGCAGAAGAAATTTCAAGAAAATATGCAAGACTATAGTCTACTCCGCATCAAGTGCCGATGCCCTTGCCCCTGGTTGTGTTGACTCCCGTTTAGGCCGCTTGGCTGCATTAAAATCCCCGGCTCGGCTCTCTCGTGCCACCGGAGAACTGCAGTTTTACTCGTGGAAATATAAATACAGCATGCTGCAGGCTTACCAAGGACCAAGGGGAAGACGATCTAGTACCAAAACAGACGGGAGTTTCTGACCCTATTGAGAAACAGCCCAGATATCTCCGCATGCCCGTCAGCACGTAGACGATCATTACCCTGGAGGTTACATGTATCATGGGATGTCCTAGAAGACCCAAACCAGTGCGAGAATGGGAGAGCCCGCCGGACCGCCGGGCGCACATTAGTTGACATCCTACTGGAACGGCCCCCGGGCCCCCTATACCTGGGCTTCTTATAGGTAATTGCTGATTATCCTAAATCCAAAATACCACCTCACGAACCATGGACCATGGCCCATGGCCCCTTCGACGGCGACTCCCCCGCATTCGTCAAAGGCTTCGTACCACTGCCGCTACGGAGAGAGGACATCCGTCTCTCACATTGGGATGGATGTATATAATATATCTTCCTTGGGTCTCTAGGTCAACGAGACGTCAGTTGGCAGTGGGACGCAGGTCAGAGCTTTCAGTTAACCTCCGGGGTCCTCTCTGCTCAACATGCGACACACTCTAGCTTACCTCAGTGGCCTCAGTGCCCTCCTGCTACCGGTGCTGGCCAGGCCGGCGGCCCTCGGAGAGGCGAGAATCCTGGAGCGACAAGACCAGCTCGATGATGAGTACGACTACATCATTGTGGGAGCCGGAACGGCTGGTCTCACGGTTGCGAACAGACTGTCTGCTGATGGGGAATGTAAGTAGTTCAGCGTTATGTCAGAAGAACGTAAAAAAGGGAAAGAAAAAAAAAAGAAAAAAGAAAAGGAATTTGAAAAGGGGGGAAGGGGAGGAGGCGGCAATGAATATGGTCACTAACCAACTAACCACCTACCACATGACTGTAGACACCGTTCTCGTCATCGAATATTGTCACTTGAGTATGTAAGCACGAGGTCTAAAGCACATACGTGCCGGGCTATGAGAGAGGCCCGAACAGGGCCCCGAAACACGTCTACAGACTACTGACACCCCGAACAGTTTCGGACGAGGTCATCGAAGCCGGCAACGGCCGCAACTTCAACGACCCCGGCATCCAGTATAACATCACGTCTGTGCCTCAGCCCGACATGAACAACAGGCGTCAGTTTGTCTGGATTGGATGCTGCGTTGGCGGTAGTTCGGCCATCAACGGCATGGTCGCCGTCCGCGGCACCAGGACCGAGTACGATGCCTGGGCTGAGCTCGGAGGGCCTAATTCGACTTGGACTTGGGATGGTGTGCTGCCATACTTCAAGAGGGTAAGTCATTTACGTTCATGATCCCTGCATGTGGGCGTTGGCTTGCTGCTAGTCTTTGAGCTGCCGCTCGGAGTGACTGTCAGACTGACGACACCCGATAGGCCATGCACTTTACACCCCCTGAAGAGCGGTTGGCCGAGGCTTTCAACATCACCTGGGACCCCAATGCATGGGGCCAAGACGAGGACACCAAGGTCTACGCCTCTTTCCCTAATTACCAGAACCCTCGGTTGAGTAAGTTTCGATTCCCATGTTCATTTTTTGGCTGTGCTCGTAGAGAAAGCATGTTAACGTAACGACAGTTCCCATGTACAATGCCATGGCTAAAATGCCTCGAATGGATATTCCCCTGGACGGAGCTGGAGGCGAGAACGGCCTATACTGGTACCCTTCGTCCTTGGACCCGGACACGTACAGGCGTTCGTACGCCCGGACGGGCCACTACGACGAGCAGATCCAACGCGATAACTACCACCTTATCACGCGACAGAAGGTTCGGAAGGTGCTGTTCGAATGCGATGAAACCACGGCATGGGGCGTCGAGTTCTTCTCCCGCGACGATCCCGAGGAGGTGGTCAGCGTGAGGGCCAGGAAAGAGGTCATCATCTCAGCCGGCACCGTCCACACGCCCCAGATCCTCCAGCTCAGCGGCATCGGACCGAGGCCTCTGCTGGAAGAAGCCGGCATCCCCGTCAACGTCGAGCTCCCCGGCGTGGGGCAAAACTTCCAAGACCACGCCTACCTCAGCGTGGGGTACACCTGGGGCAACGGAGTCGGCCCCCCCGTCCCAGACATCCCCCAACTCGGCAACCCCAGCTCCGTATCAGGGCCTAACCTCGGCGCCTGGATCGGACTCCCCACCATGACCGAGGACTTCGAGGACATGGCGGCCCGCTACGAAGCCCAGGATCCGGCTCAATACCTCCCGGAGGGGGCGGACCCGACCGTCGTCGCCGGGTACGCCGAGTTCCAGCGCGTCCACGCCAAGCTGCTGCGGAGCAAGAACACCAACCTCATGTGGTTCCCGCTCAACGGAGGGGCGGGCGGCATCGTGATGAGCATGCACATCGTCAGCCACGGCACCATCAACATCAACGTCACGGACCCGGAGGCGAGCCCCGTCGTCGACTACCGCGCGCTCAGCAACCCCACCGACATGGACATCATGGTCGAGAACATCGAGTACATGCGCAAGTACATGGCCAGCCCGGACTTTGCGCCGTACGGGCCCCGCGAGACGAACCCGGGCGCCGGTGTCACGGGCGAGGCCCTGCGCGCGTGGATCCGGCAGACGTATATCCCTACCAACTTCCACCCCATTGCCACGGCTGCCAAGAAGCCCAAGGAGTTGGGCGGTGTGGTGGACGAGGAGTTGCGCGTGCATGGGACGTCCAAGTTGCGGGTCGTTGATGGGAGTATCATGCCTTTGTTGCCGGGCGCCAATACCCAGCAGCCGGTGTACATGGTCGCAGAGAAGGTGAGCATCCCCTTACGAGCGAACTTGGATAAAAAGGGGGCCATACTGACACTTTACTTACACCAGGCTGTCGACTTTATCAAGGCGGCTCAGTGAATGCTATGGGAGATAACCTAGCTGAGGATTGGGAGACGACAGGCTGGTATCCGAAGTATTGGGCCTATACCTTTTGCTTTGCCTACTTTGACTGGTCTGGATGACTGGCCGGAGAAGATTGAGCGTATTCTCGATCCTTATGCCAATATTGATGAGGCTCTGTTGATGAGAATGGTAGGACATGACCTTCCTGTGGATTATAGTCGGATGGGGTAATGGACGGCTGGGGGGTTTTGTGACATAGACTCCCGAAATCTATAGTCCAGACAAAGTCTGTCCAGACTCAAATATGCCACAGGGCATTGTTCAGACGCGTCATACTCGAAAAGTACGTGGAGATAGTGGCACCGGTTCCCTCTTATGTATGCTTTTCGTTCCTCTTTTTTTCTGCTTTTTTCTTTCTTTTCTTTACTTTCTGTTCTAGCCTTTGACAGCCGTCTTTCCGTATGAACCACCCACTGCCTTTCTCAGCTCGATTGCTCGTTTGTAAGGTGGTGCTGTCGGTGGTTGGACTGGATCCAGAGAGACGTGTCCATCTGGAAGTTGATACGAAGCATCGGAATCGAAGGATGACAGGTCACCGCAGGCGATAAACGGCGCTATCCACTTGATGTCGTCCTTTTCTGATCCATCCAAGTTGTTCGTTTCATCGTAAGCTTCCACCTCAACCACATCCTTCCCTGGATCGTAGAGGGACTTGGAGGGTGCAACATCCCAGGCCGCAGTCCCCGGGTTTTGCATGAGAGCATCGGCGAGAACGGGCAGCTGCCGCGTCCTCTCCTCGGCCATCTCGGGCAACCCGCTCCCCACGCCAAGCGGATCCTCAAGGCTCGCCCGAAAACCCGGGGGGGGCCGGAAATTAATGCACACGATAAACGCCTCGACGCTGCTGGCGCGCGAGGAGCGGGGCTTGGCGACGAAGACCTTCTCGAAAAAGATCTTCAGCTGGGCGTACAGGACGTCGACGTTCCGGCCTCGGAAGATCTTGGCCACGAATTTTCCGCCGGGCTTGAGGACGCAGAGGGCGAGGTTCAGGGCGGCGAAGAGGAGCTGGGACTGGACGTAGATGTCGAGGTCGTGCAGGCCCGTGACGTCCGGCGCGCCGTCGCTGATGACGAGGTCGACGGGTTGCGAGGCCGGCTGCTTGCTGCTGCGCGCGGCGGGGTCGTAGTCGGGATCGAGGGCCTTGAGGAGGAGTGGCACCGTGGCGGGATGAGTGATGTCGGCGCGAAGGGTGACGACGCCGGGGAGAGGGCTCATGGGTTGGAGGTCGATGGAGACGATCTTGACGTCCCCTGGTGTACTTCTCTCGGGTTGACGAGGCGCATAGATGCCTTCTTCTGTCGGCTTCGGGGGGTCGCTGGATGTTATGCTGGGTAGGACATTGAGCATTTGTTGGCGAAAGCGAGCTTCGCGGTCTTGCCAGGCGGTGCGCCCGAACTTCTCTCCCTTGATGAGGACACGCGACAGTACCTGAGACCAGCTACCAGGTGCCGCACAGAGGTCAACCACTCTCGTCACGTGAGAGAAGAGGTCAAACTCTGCGTAAGCGTCAGTGGGTGGGCCTGGGAAAGGGTAAGGGGACCCGTGGGAGAGGAAATGATTCAAATGAAGTGATTCACGGATTTACCTTCATCGAGTTGCAAAAGTTTAAAGGCGCTACGGGCACGCCAGCCTTGTTCTTTCGCTAGCCTGTAATAGGCATCTCGCTTGTCCTTTGATGTTTTCCCCATGGTACAGCGGGTTAGGAGGCGTTCGTGTTCGTTGTGGAGAGGAAGGGAGACTCAGGGTCACTCTCAGGGCGAGGGGTTCCAACTTCTCATGGAGTCATGGTGAACTTCGGCAAGTGAAGTGACTGTGACTGAGAAAATTTAATTGATGAGTCATCAGAAACAGAAAAGGCTGAGTTAAGGTGTGGTCTGTGCTTGACAAGGCAGATGTCTCGGAGCAATATTATACCGATCCCGTCCAAGATTTTGGTGGGGCATCTGGGAACCAATTCTCATCACGGATTTTTTTTGTTCTGTAACGCACCAAAAAAGGGAAAACCACAGAGTTGGGCTTAGACACAATCGGACTGCGAACACACACCACACACCATGGCGCCAATCTCGAAGAATAAGCGAAAGACGCCGGAAGCGGGGTCCTCAGCGGCCCCTTCAAAGCGACAAAAGGTCGCTGCCAAGTCGTCCGCCTCGTCCAAGAAGAAGCGGGTGTTCAGCGTCAATGCCCTGGCATGGAAGAAGGTCGACATCCCGGAGATGTTCGACGATGCGGAGGGCTTCTATGGATTAGAGGCAATCGAGGGTGTTGATGTGGTCAAGAATGGCGACCAAATCGAATTCGTACGTTTCTGAAGAAGGAAACGCTGCCTGTTTTCGTCTTCTGCTAACTCGCAACCAGCACGCAGTCGAAGATGTCATCAAGGCCGGCGACGACGAGGACGAGGACGAATTCGAAGGATTCAGCGACGCGGAACCGTCTCATACCACCGACCAGAAGCCGTCGGAGAAGCCATTGCACAAGTCATCGAACAAGGCATCCACGACTGTCAACAACTTGAAGGAAGCTACCGACATTGCCGCCGAGCTCAACTTGGGCGAAAAGACCGAAGAAGTAGGCGAAAAAGAAGTGGAACCAAAAGCCCAAAAAGGCCAAGACGCCAAATCCAAGAAAGAGAAGAAAAAGGAGAAGAAAGAGCAAAAGAAAATGTTGGGACCTGTGGCTGAGGATCCGGCTCTGTCAAGCAACGTCTTCTCGGCATTGGGCGACGCGCCCCAGCCAGCAGAGGACGACCTCGACATGTCCGCATGGGTGGCACTCGACTTGTCGCCAGACATGGTCTCGGCCCTTGCTCGTCTCAAGTTCTCCAAACCAAGCGCCATCCAAGCTGCCGCCATTCCGGAAATCATCGCAGGACATGACGTTATCGGAAAGGCAGCAACCGGCTCCGGCAAAACGCTGGCTTTCGGCATCCCCATCGTCGAGAAGTGGCTCGAAAGCAACAACACCGAACAGGCGCAGGAACCGGAACAGGAGCAGGGGGATTCCTCTTCCGACAAAGTACCTCTGGCCCTCATCATTTCTCCCACCCGAGAACTCGCCCATCAGATCATGAACCATATCAAGGAGCTCTGTGCCGGGCTGCAAGCCCAGCCATACGTGTGCGCCGTCACCGGTGGATTGTCCGTCTACAAGCAGCAGCGCCAGCTTGCCAAGGCCGACATTGTCGTCGGAACGCCCGGCCGGTTGTGGGAGGTGTTGAGTTCGAGCAACTCCCTCATGGCGTCGTTCAAGCAGATCCAGTATTTGGCCGTCGACGAAGCGGACAGATTATTGAGTGATGGGCACTTCAAGGAGGCTGAGGAGATTCTCAAGGCCCTCGACAGGCACACTGTCGATGAGGACGGCGAGGAAGAGAAAAAGTTGTCACCCCGACAGACGCTCGTCTTCTCAGCGACCTTCAATAAAGGATTGCAACAGAAACTGGCAGGGAAAGGGAAGAACAATCTCCTGTCAGACGAGGAATCAATGGAATATCTCCTCAAGCGGCTCAATTTCAGGGAAGAGAATCCCAACTTCATCGACGTCAACCCGGTGTCACAGATGGCGGAGGGACTCAAGGAGGGAATGGTCGAATGCGGCGCTTTGGAAAAGGTGAAGACAAAAGGCTCCTTTTCTTCCTTCGCGCTCATCTGAGCAACTATCCGATCTCCTCCTCACTAACACAAAACACAAACACCGGGTAACCAGGATCTCTATCTTTACGCGCTGCTCCTCCTCAGTCCGAACCGCAGGTCCCTCGTATTCACCAACTCCATCAGCACCGCCCGCCGCCTGACGCCCATGTTACAAAACCTCAAACTCAACGTGCTCCCCCTTCACTCCCAGATGGCGCAAAAGGCCCGTCTCCGATCCGTGGAGAAGTTCGCAGCGGCAAAACCCGGCACCTCGTCCATCCTCATCGCAACAGACGTGGCCGCAAGAGGCCTCGACATCCCCGGCATCGACCAGGTCATCCATTACCACGTCCCGCGGACCGCCGACATGTACGTCCACCGCTCCGGCCGCACGGCCCGCGCCCAGTGCTCCGGCCTCAGCATCATCCTCTGCGCGCCGGAAGAAGTCACCCCGATGCGCCGCCTGGCCGCCAAAGTGCACCACGAACAGGCGGTCCGAAAGAAGTACGTGATCCGGACCATCGACGTCGACCGGCGGGTCGCGCAGCGCCTCAAGCCGCGCGTCGAGCTGGCGAAGAGAATCACCGACGCGGTGCTGGCCAAGGAGAAGGGCGGCAAGGACGACGACTGGGTCCGCAAGGCCGCGGAGGACCTCGGCGTCGAGTACGACAGCGAGGAGCTGGAGAAGAGCGGCAGCTGGGGTGGCCGCGGGAGCCAGAAGAAGAAGAAGCAGAAGGAGGCCATGCAGATTGGCAAGGCTGAGCTCGGCGCCATGAGGGCGCAGCTCCGCGACTTGCTCTCGAGGCGCGTCAACACGGGCGTGAGCGAGAGGTACATTACCGATGGGAGGGTCGACGTTGATGAGCTGTTGAAGGGCGTGACGGGCGACTTCCTCGGCAGGGTGGACGCTCTGGATGTGGACTTTTGAGCTCTGGTTGGGTGTGGATGGGCATAGGCATGGGCATGTTTGGCACATTTGTCATTGATACCCCCTGTCTAAGATTGGCTGGCTGGAACGGGAATTCTACCATCGATCAACCGGACCTGATACTACCTATTGTCCAATGTCCCGTATGCGCACCAGTGTCTACGGAGGAAAACCACCATTACGTACTCCGTAATTGGGAATTCTTCTGTGGAAGGCTTGTCGGGTAAACTCAAATATGTGAATGCCAATGCCGAGGTGAACAGCGCCTCATAGTCTTGATGTCCACTTCTGGCTCGCCGGAGTTTGAGAACGACAGCCTCGCAATGAATTATTCCCACCAACAGCAGGTGGCAATATGCTAGTGGAGCATCTCGCCCTGAGTTGTCGGCCATGACCAGTTGTAGCGGGATTCTTACCTCCGTTCAGCAGAAAGAGGCAGGGATGAACACTGCTAGTTGCTTCGTGAAGAAACAACATTTGCTGATCAGCGGAAGCACAGAACAAAAACGCACACTTCTGGATCTCGTGAGTGCGGTGGACGATCTTTACTGCCGGTTAACCAGACGCGCAGTGATGTAATCGGCGCATGGCCCTGGGTGTAGGCCCCCCAGTCTCGGCAAACACGCCATTGGTACGGATGCTTCAATTGCCGATCAGGGGTATGACCGTATGAGATCTTGATTTATTGCTCCCCACTGGTGTTTTGCATTCATTGTACGACCCTTGCAGAGAGGTTTCGTCAAGCTTTCGGGCTTATGCGCAGCGGAGACGGGGGAATAGGGGTGGGCCGGGCTTCAGTGCCTGATGCCGTGATCCCTTTTCCTCGACCGAATATTCAGGCTATTTGGCAATCTCATGTCGGCAGCCAGACTGTCTTCAAGGCAGTGTCGTTATGAACCGACTGCTCATGTTGAGTAAACCTCCTAGAGAACATGAATTTTATAAATACTCACATGTTCAGATCTGTTCTCGCCGTCTCTGCTTCGTCTTGAACCAGGTTGCAACTCAAGCTCATCGTTTCTATTTTCGTGACACTCCCTTCGGTCCCTCTGCCTATCACCTAGAAATCCCCTTTTCTTATTCCCACAGCCCATCATGAAGTCGGCTCTGGCTCTCCTCGCGGTGCCCCTTGTGGCAGCCCTCCCCTCCGCCAAGACAAGCTCCCTGAAGCAGAGACAGGCCGGCGCCAGCATCCACGACGCCTTCGTCGCCGCGAGCAAGGAGTTCTTCGGCACCGCCACCGACCAGGGCCTCCTCCAGCGGGACCCCAACCCGGCCATCATCCAGGCCAACTTCGGCCAGGTCACGCACGAGAACTCGATGAAGTGGGAGAGCCTGGAGCCCAACCGGGGCTCGTACAACTGGGGTCCCGCCGACGAGGTCGTCGACTGGGCCATCGCGAACGGCAAGCTCGTCAGGGGCCACACCCTCGTCTGGCACTCCCAGCTTCCGCAGTGGGTGGAGGGCATCACCGACGCCGAGGAGCTGCGCGAGGTGATCCGGAACCACGTCAGCACGACTGTTGGTCGCTATGCTGGCCGTATTCACCACTGGGTAATGGGTCCCCCCCCCAAGTCTTTAAAATCATGTCGAGACGGAACGGGATATGAGAATACTAACAGAAGACAAGGATGTCGTCAACGAGATCCTCGCCGAAGACGGCTCCCTCCGCGACTCGGTCTTCTCCCGTGTCTTGGGAGAGGAGTTCGTCAGGATTGCCTTCGAGGTGGCCCGGGAGACCGATCCCTCTGCGGTTCTCTACATCAACGACTACAACCTCGACCAGGCCAACTATGGAAAGGTCAATGGCATGGTTTCGTTTGTGCAGAAGTGGGTTGATGAGGGCGTCCCCATCGACGGCATCGGTAAGTTGACCTTGTCTTTCCCCCTCCCCCAACTCTTACACCCTATGGCTGGGGCAATGAAACAAAACTGACAAACTATCACCCCGTGCAGGCACGCAAACTCACATCTCCCCTGGAATGGGCGCCGGTGTACAGGCTGCACTAGAGCAACTCGCCTCCGCCCCCGTGAGAGAAGTGGCCATTACCGAGCTCGACATCGCGGATGCCCCTGTCGAGGAGTATACCGCGGTTGTCCAGGCCTGCCTCAACGTCGAGAAGTGTACTGCCATCACTGTATGGGGAGTCGGCGATGCTGTAAGTTGATTCCCATAAGAGTACATGTACAGAAAGATGAAGAGGAAAAATGGCAACTGACATGAATATCAGGACTCTTGGAGGCAGGGTGATAACCCTCTGCTCTTCGATTACAACTTTAACCCCAAGCCTGCTTACGATGCCATCATTGACTTGCTTTCTTAAGCGGTTACATGATTCGAGGTCAATGTGAATACAGGTCCAGACGGGGCATGGACAGCTTTTTCCTTCTTTTTTTTTTTCTCTTACATATAGTCTTGAATACCACCTCACTTTTTCCGCGTTAACAGCAAGGTCATACATACGTCGTGACTCTAGCCTGCAACTTTTATAGTTCCTCTTCCTCCTGAGTCCTGCTTTGCCGTTACTCAACCTTAACTAAGATAACATGAAAAATATTTCGTGACACAAACATGACAACTCGAAAGACAATTCCCTTAAAAACCAGGCATGCGCTTCCATGCGTTCCCCCGACCTCGGTCCTCACGTCCGCTTCTAGTTATACCCCGTCCCCTCCCTCCCAAACCCAGGATGTCCCCTCCCCTTCCTCTCCATAATCGCCAACCCACCACTCTCCCTCCGACAATCAATCAACTGCATATGCATCAACCTCTCATAAAAAGGCACCGACCTATCCCAATCACCAGTGAAGAGCAAGCTCCGCCTCAGATGCGGCATGTCCTCCACAACCTCCTGCACACTCCGTATAAGCCAGCTCCCGAGCCCGCCCCCCTGATGGTCATGGTCCACCCAGACGTCCGTCAGGTAGAGGAAGGTGATAAAGTCGGTCACGCAGCGCGCAAACCCCAGGAGCTTCAGCTTGGTGTTGGGAGAGGGTACATGTAGTTGGGCGCGTGACTCGGGGCCGGGTGTTCCCGCTCCCGCTCCGGCTTCGGCTCCGGCCTCGGCACTGGCGCCGGCATCGGAAGCGGCCTGGCCATCGACGCGGTAGAGGCCGAAACACAAAGACTGCTCCACCATCTCCCTCATGGCTTCTTCGGGTAGGGAGTCGGTCCAGTAAAAGTCGTCCGAGTCAAAGGCTGCCATGAGTTGGTCCATGGGGATCAGCGACGGGTCGGTGGATATGAGGTAGGAGTCTCTCTTCCATTGTCTCTGGCGTAGTTGTGCGGCGACGGAGCCCATCTTCTTTTCTCTTTCTTTCCTTTCCCTTCCCTTCCCTTTCTATTTTTGTTTTTGTTTTTCTTCTTCCTTATTCCCCTTTGGTTCTCGACTTGATTTCGCGTTGACAGAGAAAGAGAGCCCCAAGCAAATTGCGTACGAGCAGGGGAGAAATCATGGAGACGTCTGCGTATCTACTTAGAAGGACAGGAAGCGGCATAAAACAAGGGAGAGGGGGGTTATATAGTTGACGCCCTTCCAGATATTGTTTGACTCATCGTGAAGTGGAACAGAGAGATCCGACCGCCAGATCCGAGTTCCCCTATCAGTAATACGGGTCAACAATAGTCAAAAGAAGAAGAAAAAAAAACCCCGGCTTCGGCCAATAGTTCACGTAATCCCCCTGGGCCATGATAACGTTAGTCTGCGCCCTTCCTAGGATCAAATGCCGCCGACCCGCCACGATGCAACAGCATCACTTCGTCGTCTTCGACCATCCTTCCCAAGGCAAGCAAGCACATCGGATCATAATAAGGATAATGTCAGTGTAAGGCAAGAACAAAAGAAATTGGCAATTCGTCGAAATCTCTAACGCCGTTTGTGTACAGTGACACTCGCTGTCGGTTGGTCTTTTCGTCTTTTCCCCCATTTTCTCTTGTTATTGTGAGTGACCACGGTCCACACAGTCATCCCCTTCCTCACTCTCCCCATCAAAAGCCAAACCGTTTGTTTACCTTGTCGCGTAAATATACCAACACAGCCAAAAGCAGCAAGGCAACGCAAAAACACATGAATGGGCTTCCTCTTCCAGCTCACGAACTTTGAGCCCTTTCAGATATCCCCTCCGTCTGGAGACCCGCAATTCCCCTATTACTCCTCGGCGGACGAACGCTCAATGCGCTCCCCTCGCCCTCTTCGCGCCACCACCAATCTCAGAATCGCCCCGCGGCCGCTTGTTCCCCGGCTGGAAATCGTTGGCCACGGGGTTGAGCCCACCTCGGCCGCCCCCGCGTCCGCCTCTACCGCCGAATCCGCCTCGCTCACCGCCGCCGGAGGATGCCCGGTGGCCCGGAGCTTGATGACCTCCGCGTCCGCGTCCAGCCGCACCGCCACGTCCCGGCACGGGAATGGCACTCCTCTGGCCTTGCCCTTGGCCCTGGCCTGGACCTTGCTGACCTTGCTGCCCCTGTCGTTGACCTGGATGCTGACCTGGCTGTTGACCTGGATGCTGGACCGGCTGTTGACCTGGATGCTGAACCGGCTGCTGGCCTGGCTGTTGACCTGGCTGTTGACCTGGATGCTGAACTGTCTGCTGAGCTGCCTGCTGACCAGGCTGTTGTTGGCCTGGTTGGGGACCTTCGCCAGGACTCTGAGCCTGTGCAGCCTTCGCGAAAGGATTAGAAGCCGGAGCAGCGACGGCAGCTGCTGCCGCGGCGGCAAATGGGTTGTTGGGCAGCGAGGTAGGAGGCCCACCCCCCGCCGCGAAGGGGCTGGGTTGGCTGTTCGCTCCCTCCGTCTTGATCTCCGTGCCTATCGCCGGCACAGAACCTGGCTTCGGAGGTAGCAGTCCGCTCCCTGGCGGCACAAGTTGTTTGGGTTGGCCTTGTGTGGTACCTAAAGTTCGCCTCTGTTAGTTATGGAGTCCGAAGGCGAAAAAAAAACCCCCCCGAAAAAAAAAGAACCCCCCACGAAAGATTTCTTGACCTACCTGTACTGGGGGCTGCACCGCCTTGCGGAGTGGGAGAGCCCGGCATCACGCGGGGCGTCGCGCCCTGTCCACCCATGGGAGGACGCCAAGGCGTCGCCTGAGGTGCGGGCGGCGCTTTGGTATTCTTCGCCTCCTCCCACACCTCGCCGACGGGACGCTGCGGCGTCTGTGTCGCAGCCGTGGCCACCACCTCGATCTTGGCATTCGCCGTCCTGAGCTGGTTATCCTTCATGCTAATCTGGAGAGCCGACTTCTTGGACGCGAGCGTCTGCCCTTCTTCGCGCGCGCTGTTGATCCTCTGCTCGAACTCGGCCCGGAGGTTAACCTCCACCTTGGACGTCTGTTCCTCGAGCTTCTTCTTCAGATTCGCCGTAAAGATGTTCTTAGCCGTGGGATGCGTGACGAGAAGCTTCCGGACCTCGTGGTCCGACAGGTGAGACAAGTCCAACCCGACGGCGGCGGCCGCTGGCGTGCTTGTAGTCGGAGTCGACGGCGTCGCGTCAGCATCTTGCTGCTTAACCGGAGTCGCCGCTGGTGCCGCTGGTGCTGGTGGTTGCTGTTCTTGCTGCTGTGTTGTCTGAGGCTGCGCCGCCGCTGGTTCCGCCGTACCTTGCTCGGCCTTCCAAATCACCTTCTCCTGTTCCAATTTCGTCTTGAACTCCTGCTCCAACTTGGCCCGGTCCTGCCGAAGTTTGTCGTTGAGCGCATTGCGCATCTTATCGGATCGCTCTTTGAGAGTCTGCGCCATGCTCTCTTCGACCTGCTTGGCCCGTTGCTCCAACTCGGCCGCCTTGGCCTCGGCTTCCGCGATCTTAGCTTCAAGCGCCTGGCGCTCCTCCTTGGACAAAACCTCGGCGGTCGCTCCCTCCGTCACCTCACCGTCTTCGGCAGACGCGGCCCGCTCTTGCTGCTGCTGCTGTTGTTGCTGCTGCTGAGGCTGCGTCTGCGTCTGGGAGAGCTCGGTCGCCTTGCGGATAGCATCGTCCCTCTGCGATACCACATTCTGGAGCTCGCCACGTAGATTCTGGAGCTCCTGCTCAGCGGCCTGTTTCTGCGCCGAGATCGATTCGAGCTCGCGCCGGGCGTCTGCCAGGTGTTGTTCCAGCTGGGCAACCACGTCGGCGGAGGCGGATGCCGACGTCTCCATCGTAACCTGACTGCCGCCTGCGCCAGCGGCGGCCTGGTTGGCTTGAGCCTCCTGTTGCAGCCGCTGCACCTGCTGTTGGAAGTCTTGAATGTGCTGCTCGAAATCCGTCTTCTGCGCCGCCGCCGTCTCGAGCTCCCGTCTGGCGCCGCTGAGCTGAGTAGTAACGCTTTGCAGTTGCTCTTGCAGCTGAGCCACCTGCGCTTCGTGAGACGCGCCTATGCTGGCTCTGGCCTGTTCGAGTTCCGACCGGATGGCGTCCAGCTGCTCCCGAAGGCTGTTCTTCTCCGCGATCGCTTCGTTCCTCTCTCCGGACAGCTTCTTGGAGCGGTCTTTAAACTGGTCGGTGAGGCGTTGTCGAGTGTTGAGCCAACCGGCCCTCTCCGCTTCCAAAGAATTCTGAGCCTCTTCGGCCTTCGCGTTGAGTTGTTCCTCTGACGCCTTCAGCGCGTTCCTCTCCTCCTCCAGCGTTGCGATCGTCTGTTTCAACTGTTCCATCTCTGCGGGGTCCACGCGGCCGTACTTGGTGAGGATGCCCTCGGTGCGCTTCTGCCACCGGTCTCGGTCTTCCTGGATCTGTTTGATCTCCTCCTCCAGGAATCCCTTCTGCGTTTGGAACTCCTCAATCTTGGCCTCGAGCGGCTGGACCTTGGCTTCGAGCTCCTCGATCTTGGCGCTCTTCTCGGCGATCTGGTTTCGCGCCTGGGCAAGTTCGTTCCGCAGCGTGGCGCTGCTCTCGCGATACAGGTTCAGCTCGTTGAGCTTCTCCATCAGGTCCTTGTGCGCCAGCGCCCCCTGACCGCTTTCGGCCTGAGCACGCCTCTCCTGGTCCAGCTTGAGGCGCGTCTCCTCGAGCTGCGACTGGGCGTAGGACAACTGCTGTTGCAGCCGCTTCGTCTCCTGCTCTTTGAGGTCGTACTGAACTTCGAGGATATCCTTCTCCCGCTGCAGATACGAGTTGAGCTCTCGGAGGCCGTCCGCGGCGGCGTTGTCGACGGAAAACTCCGCACCCGGATCGCCGTTCGATGTGCCGGTCCGGTTCTGCTTGAGGGCGGCGAGCTGAGCCGTGATGTTCTCCATTTGCTGATGCAGAAGCTTGTTCTGGGCATTCGCGTCGTCCCGTCGAGCCTTGAGCTCGGAGATCTCCCGTTCCAGCTGCTGACGTCGTCCGTCCCAAGAACCCTGGCTCTGGGCCAACGCCACCTTGGCCGACTCGGCCTCGGCCCGGAGAGACGCCGTTTCGCTCTTGAGCCGGTTGTATTCGCCCCGGAGATGCTGCGCCTGCTTCGCAGCCTCGGCGTGCTTGACAAGCTCATGTTCGTAATCTTGCTGCGCCTTGGCTGTAATGTCGGCCTGGGATCGCAGGTCTTGCTGGTGATACTTGGCCGCTTCCGAATAACGCTCGGCCACCTCCTTTAGCCTCGCAACTTCCTCCTCGAAGATGCGCTTCTCGTCCTCGAACCGCCGGGCGACCTCGCCCTGCGAATCCCGGATGCTGGACAGTTCCTTGTTAGAGTTGGCCAGCTCCGTGGACAAGTCCTCGACCCGCTGCCCCAACTCCTTAATCTTGGCGTCCTTGGCCTCGACGACGGACTCCATCTCTTGCCTGTACTGCTCCTGCGACGCGGTGAACTCGCCGAGAGCCTCTTCATTCTGCTCGCTCAGCTGCTTGTACTGCTGGGCCTGTTCCTTGGCATTCTCGAGGTGGGCCTTGGTCAAGTCCAGATCACGCTTGAGATCAGCAACTTCGTTGATCAGATCGCGCATCTCCGATTCGGCGGCGTCTTGGTCGGTCTGTGATGGCTCTGTAGCAGTAGCTGTAGTTGTAGCCGTAGTCAATCCGCCCGGACGCGGCGTCGGTCGTGGCTGGAGACGGCCGTAGCGCTCCTCGGCACTCCGCAGCTCGATGGTGAGTTCGTCCACACGACTCTGAAGATGGTCGCGGCTCGTCTTGACCGACACGTGTTCCTCGCGGATTTGACTGAGGTTGGCCGAGAGCTCGTCGATGCGCTTCTGGGCTTCCTTCGCGTCGAACTCCTTGCGCAGCTGCAGTCTCTTGCCTTCCTCTGCCTCCTCCGAAAGCTTGCGCTTGGTGGCGGCCAATTCATTTTCGAGGCTCTCGATCCGGGATTGCGCTTTTCGCCGATTCTCGGATTCGGAGATGTCACGTTCGTTTTGAACAGATTGCTGCGCGGCGAGGAGGCCGTTCAGGCGGGCCTTTTCTTGGTTTAGGTTCTCGTTGTCCTGGTTGATTCGATCCTGGATATCCTTCCAGAGCTTCTTCTCCGCCTTGAGATTAGCGGTTTCGTTGCGCATGCTCTCCAGAAGACCCCGTGCCTCGATGAGCTCCTCGGCCACCTGCTGGGTGCGAATGTCCTGCCTGGCGGCCGTCTCGGAAAGGATCTGGCTGCGCTTCTGTAGCTCCTTGTTCTCGGTCTGTAGCGCCATGTAGTTGGAACGCAGCATCTCGTACCGCTCGGATGCCAACGAGAGCTGGCTATTGATCTTGGCAACCTCTCCCTGGAGGGTGTTCTTCTCGCTCGAGGTCTTGTCGATTTGCTCCCGTAGTGACCGTCGGATGGATTCGGCGTCGTCCCGGTAGGCGTCGAACTGGACCTGCAAGTCCCTGAGGGCGACCTGGGGCGAAACGCCACCGTCCTGTTCCGACTCGATGCTAGTGAGAGGAGGACGCTGACTTTCGTCCACGGAGCTTCCGAGGATCGAGGCGAGCTCGCCAGCCGAAGCCTTCTGCTGAAGCAGACGGCGGAACATGTCGCGCTCCGATTTGTAACTCTCCATGGTCGTCTTCAGGGACTTGGCCTCGTCGATCATGTTCGAGAGCTCACGTTGCAGTCGTTCGACGGCCTGGTGGTCTTCGACGGCCTGGTTCTTCGCGGCGATGGCCTCCTCGCTTTCCATCTGCTCGGCAAGCTCCCGCGTGACCCTGAGGAGCTCCTGGTTCTTCTCCTGCAGCTCCTGGATATCCTTGAAGACGACAAACTTTTGGGTGATGAACTGGTGGGTGTCGGACATGTCGGCAAGGGCGTCCTCGGTGACCTCCCCGCGGGACAGTTGCTCGAGTCGGAGGGTCTCCTCACGCGAGAGCTGATCCAGGCCCTTCTCCCGGGCGTGCATGTTGAAGACGAGCATCTGGATCTGGGTGCCGAGGTCGCGCAGCTGGGATCGCAGAATCTTGGTCTCGGCCTGGACGTTGGAAAGCGCGCTCTCGGCCTTCCTGGCAGACTTCTTGGCAGCGTCACGCTCCTCGTAGGCCTCCTGCGAAAGCTGCGACATCTTGGCAATCTCGGCACGAAGGGTATCGGCTTCGCTCTGTAGCTCTTCAATCTCGGGAGTTTTCGCCTCCAGAACGGCGATCATGTTGTCCAGCTCCTCGGCCAGTTGCTGGTTTCGGCGTTTCTCGCCGGCCAGCTGACCCTTGACCTTGTAAAGTTCGTCGATGGCTTGGGTAGCGGTGATGGCGGACTTGCTGCGGATGGAACCCGGGGTCGCGAAGGGCGAGGCGGCGCGGGCGAGGAATCCGCTGCCGTTCGGGCGTGGTGTCGAAGGGACGGAGCCCTGGGAGGCGGCGGCGGCGGCGGGAGCCGGGCCTTGATCCAGGCGTACATGGAGTTCGTCTATCTCACCCTCCAGCTGGCTGACCCGCTCCTCGAGGACACGGCAGTTCTCCTTTTCGGACTCGAGCTCCTGCTGGAGACGCTTCAGCTCGTTGAGGTGTTTCTGATTGAGGGATTCGCGCTCGTTCTCGAGCTGCTGGACGCGAGCTTTGTGGTTCGAGGTCAACTGGTTCGCCATGTCAACGAGACGCTGCTTGCTCTCGAGCTCCTGCTTGTAGCTCTCCTCGGTGCGGGCAAAGGATTCCTGCTGTTGCTGTACCCTGGTGAGAGCTTCTTCGGCCTTGCTTTGGGCGGCATCGAGACGGTCACGGAGCTGTTTTTCGCCTCGCTTCAGGGTCTCGACTTCGGATTTGGCGTCGTCATTCTGGCGCTGAAGCTCGGCGATTCTAGTACTCTTTTCCTTCCGATACTTGAGGGCTTCCTCGCTCTTGGTCTTGAGTTCATTTTCGAACCAGTCGCTGTTGCGGCGAGCGAGGTCCAGCTGTTGTTGGAGCGATTCTTCCCGGTACTTCGCACTGCTAGTGGCAGCCTGGGCCGTCTGCAAGGACTGTTGCAGAGTGGTGATGTCCTTGGTGAGCTGGACATTCTTCTGGTGTTGTTTGGTGAGTTCCTCGGAGAGTTCCGCATCTCGGGCATTACGAGACTCAAGAAGTGCCATGTTAGCACGATTGGAGGACTGAAGTGACTCGATGCGGTCTCGCAGCGTCTTGATCTCGGAGTCGTTGTCGGAACCTCTCGTCTTGAGGGCCCGGAGTTCGTTTTCGACATTTTGACGGGTGGTTTCTAAAGGGGGAAGACAGCACCAGTCAGCCAGGCGATATCCTCCTGACGTATATGAGACGAATCCATGCCAGCAGAAGGTTACGTACCTTCTTCCCGGAGCTTCTGCCTGATTTCCTCTACTTCTTTCAGAGCCTTGTCGGACGTTGCTTTGGCGTTTCGACATCGTTCCTCGGCGCTACGATGAGCACTCTCGAGTTCGACATCGACCATCAGTTTCGCATTGTACAGCTCGTCAAATTCGCCAGCCTTGGCGACAACGGCTTGCAGGAGCGATGCGACAAGTTCAGTGGTGGGGTCGGTGGTGATAGTCTGGACAGTCGACTCGGGCAAGCCGAGATGGCCAGCGACCCGGGCGACGTCCACCACAGCAGCTGCCATGACTATCTGAGCTCCTCTCCTATTGCTGATTATTCGACATCGGATATTGATGTAGTGCAGGATGAGGTGTGTCGATGAATATCGGGTCGTCTCTAATTCGTCTTGGTTGGTGTAGAGAAGGCAGAAACCCTAGGAAGTCGGGTCGGCGGGGCGGAATGAAGTGCCAAAGAAAGAAAGAAAGAAAGAAAGAAAGAAAAACGATTCTCGTCTTTGTCGCACAAGTAAGTACGAATTCGGAGAAGAAAAAGGTGAACAAAGGGAGGCGAAAAAGTTGTGCTGCGAAAGGATATTGAAAGGCCTTTCCTTTCTTTGGTCACGGTTGCTCCTGCCTCACGCCTCGCAAAAGGTTGTTTTCCTGAATCAACACGAAAGAACACAAAGGGTCAAGGCTGCGAGGTTCAAGGAAACGATAGGCCAATCAAAACACGTGCCGGTGGGAGCTAGATGTGCCGGGGTTTTACCGGAAATGTATTAGTCATTCAAGATGTTGTGGATTACTAATCCATTGGGCGAACCGGTCACTTGATTTGGGGATTCTCGGGACTTGACTTGGGAGATATCATGCAGCGAGCATCTCAGCTCTCGATATTCGAGGCTACATCATTCTCCTGTATAACTACACCAACAGATGAAATCTGGTCGCTCAACTATAAGTGTCCTCTATATACGGGCCTGATATCCGAAACAATTCTCTACTCCATCATCACCAACAACGATGCCACTGTCCCTCTATCCCGAGACTCCTGGGGAGAAATCTGGCATATAATCATCGCGTGTCCAACGTACATTAAGGGCGATAGCCACCCAAAGAGAACGGACGGCCATACATGATTCTTCTGGAGTATCATTTCTGACCGTGCCAGCAGTGGTAAAGGAAACCCCATGCCGCCATCATTCACGTCGGGAGACTGAACATCGTGATTGCCGGTGACCACCCCAACAACAAGAAGCCACCAGATACAGATCGCGCCACACTCTGAGGTCTTGTGGTGAGAAGATACGAAGTGGCATCCGCGAGTGGAGAGAAGTATATACTTTCCAGGACACTGGGAGGGAACTATTCGCACTCATGTAGGGGTCGACCGACGACATCATATATATGTGTTGGGCTTGATCGTCTCAACTAACCATTGTCGGATTTTCTTCGATCCCAAGCCTATCCCAAACCCTTCGGACAGGTTGCAGTATTTTCCTGACTTTCCACGTAAAAGTGACGGGACTCTGAAAACGACTGCACTTACGTTGGTATCTATGCCTGGTGGGGGGGCCGGGGGGGGAGGTCCTTGAAAGGTCGTATATAGTTGACCGGCTTACTCTGTAATCCAATTGCTTGCAGAACCTCTTCCTCATCTTATTGCGGGATGCATGGCTGGCGAGTGACGACCAATCGTTTGGTCGTCGGCTCTGTCAAAGCGAGGACGGCTGCCGGGCCCCGACCACGACGTGAACGGCCAGGGCCTCGGCCTCCGAGGAGGAGTCGGTTTGTTCCGTACGCTTCGAAAACAGCGGTCTGTGAAGTACATACGACGAACGTACTTTGACTTGAGGAAGTTTGCTTGAATCACAAAATGCGACGTACGGTACCATGGTGGATCTGTCTACCTCGTCCTGCCGTGTCCTCTTACATCTCATAGATAGTATTAATTGCCTACCTAGCGACAAGGATGGTCCATGTGCGCCTAATACCAAACTGAACACCGAGACATAAACATCATTTCCGCCTAACTTCGTTAGATCCCACTGTATTGTGCCAAAGATTATCTCGTCTCACACAGCATTCGTACATATCGACCCCCAGGAACGAGTGTGGCGTGGATTCTATCTATTTTTGCCGTTTGTCGCCTGTTCGCACCAATCCGAGTCGGCTGACTATGACCCCGACGATGCACCTCCCTGTCTTACCTATTTGGGGTTCTTCTATCGACGGGGATGATTTTGATAGGTAATACTCGCGTATTTTTTCTGCTTGTAGTTTCGTTTCTCTCCTCTCCTCTCCTTTTCTTCTCTATCGCCTTGTCTTCTCGCTTTTTGTGTCTCTGTGTCTAAATAACCTCCTCTCCTTACCCACCTCGTCGTTTCCCTGTTGTCAAAGCCAGTGGCTAGAGACGATATGGTTTCTGGTTTGGGTGTAAAAACACTCCCGACAGAGTGGAAGAGGTAGACGGGCCGACAAATCAAAGCAGCGTTACAACGTGTCAACGTACCTTAAGTTAAAGTAATATTATACTTCCCTCCCGCACGTGGGATCAACGACCCTACCTACATCTTATCCTTGCTTACACGTGCATATCACCTTTCTTTTGCCTAGCATTGGTTTCCAAATAGAGGACCCTTGTCCACTAGTCTTCGTGACCATCTAGGCGAGATCAATATCTGCCACTCAATGAAGCGGCGCCCACGCCCAGGTGAGCTGATACGCCACCGACAAACGAGATGAAGTGACTCGAATGAGTCGAGTCAGCCTGACGAAAATCAGCATTGGAAAATCAACCTCGCTAATGCAACCTACTGCAGGCCTCATGTACTGCTAGGGGTGCCAGAGTGCCTCGTTCCAGACGTTCCAGACACATCGATCGCCAGGCTATCCGGGGTATTCCATGGCTTGTCGTTAAAGCTTGATCGCCACGACCCCTGTCCCCTCCCCCAGAAAGCCCAGGCTGCCCAGCAAGCTCCAGAGCACGGCTGTAAGATCCCAAGAGAACCATGAGAAAACGACAGTCGGAGGAGTGTCTCCGGATAGCCCACGAACTGGCAGATATAATAGCCTGCGCCCAGCCTCCGTATAGCTGGCGAGCACCTCTTCTGCGACCTCATCCCTTCCTCACTCGCAAGCTCAACGCTCAACGGTCAACAACATACCCTCAGTCAGGTTTCTCAGCCTCCCCCTGAATCATCAACCAACCTTTACCACAAGCCTAGTCAACGTCAACCACCCCCCCACCTACCCTCACCATGAAGCCCACACACACAACCTTGGCCCTAGCAGCCGCCCTCCTCACCACCCTCGCCAGCGCCGCCGACACCGCGCAACGAACCCACCACCACAAACCCCCCACCGGCGCCGTCTCCGCCTCCTCGCTGCTGCTCAGCCGCCAATCCGAGTGCGGCGTCACGGACCAAGTCTGCGACGCGGACTACTGCATCCCCTCCTCCGCAGACTGCTGCGACGAGGGCTTCGGAGGCTACTGCGAGCTCGGCACCTACTGCGACGGCGGCGGCTGCTGCCCCACCGGCAGCACCTGCGAGGGGGACCCCGTCGGGTGCGGCGACGACGACTACGTCGAGTGCGGCGACTACTGCCTCGAACCAGACATGAGCTGCTGCGACGGCGGCTTGTACGCTTGCATGGCCGGGACGGTGTGCGTCGGCGATGGCTTTTGCAGCTACCCCGATGAAGATGAAGATGAGGATACTGTGACGGCTCCTGGGCCTGCTCCCACTTCCCCCGCCGAAGACGACGACGAGGACGACGACGACGACGAGGACGAGGACGAGGACGAGGACGCCCCGTCTCCTACTTTCACGCGGGCTGTCGAGCCCACTGATGGGCCTGGCGTAGATGACGACGAGACTGATACCGATGATGGCAACAGCAACTCCAACGACGACGATGATGATGACGAAGACACTGAACAAGGCTCGCGTGAAGGCATCCTCGGCAATGGCAATTTGCCTGGCTCCTCCGCAGCGGGACTTCGTCTTGATGCTACTACTCTGGTGGCTGGTCTGTTGGCCGGTGCTCGGTTCCTTCTCTAAATTCCCAAGATACGTACGCATGGATGGGCTGCATTGGGAGGGATCGAAGCCGTCATTGTCGACGGCGTCTGAGAACAGGACTCGATTATAACATGTTTATTTGTACATACTTTTCAACAGGATACCTACATTACTTTAATCTTGAAAGTCAATGTTTGGCTTCTACTTGCTTGTCGTATTGTCCGGAAAGTAATGTAATGGAGTTGGGGGCGTCGGTCATGAAGGCGGCTGCTGGCCACCTTGGTAAGTAGACATCAGGCCTACTCATTGCCCGGTATAACAGACTCGATAAAGACCAGCTTCGATAAACACCTTGTTCTCCTGCAAGATAAACAATGTTCATTAATTTGACCAGCTACCACTGTCATCTATTTACTGTGGGCACTTCAAGATCAGGGACCGATATCTTTCTGTTCCCCTTTTCCCCCTAGCCGCGAAGAGTCCAGCTGATGCGTTTTTCTTTCCCCGGACCCGACTAGGTAGAGAGTAAACCGACTTGAGACTTTTCAAGCTTTCCACTGACAAAATAGAAACCTGCCAACTCCTCGCTGAAAATTGGTGTTTGTGAACCATGGAAGTAGAGGGAAGCATGTCCCCCAAGACCACTGGGAGAGGGGGGTGTAAAAGTAATAACCAGGGGGGCAAGAAATAAAAGGAAAAGGACAAGATAACGAACAAAAAAAGACGAAGAAAAAAATCCATCATGGATCGTCAAATCCGAATGTTACACTCTCATCGTAACCCATCCTCATAGACACTTGGTGCGCATCCATTCCACACTGCGCGAACCCAGGTTGAGCCCGTTGCGCGCCCACCACTTACGCACCCGCTCCTGGTCCCCAATACTATCCTCCAGCGCCTCCTCAATAACGCAAGGACGATACTCGACGCGGTGCCGCCGGCCATCCATGCCCTCCAGCTCGCCGTGCGCGAAGCCGCGCCACCACTCCAGGACGTCGATGTGCTGGTGGATGGTAGGCTGGATGAGGACGTCGGCGTCGAAGACCATCTTATCGTCCCCCTTGAGCTGGCGCCACGCCTCGAGCACCTCGACGCGGCCCCAGCGGCTCGCCAACTTGGCCACGCTGTCGCCGTGGCCGACGGGGATGCCCGAGGCGACCCACCAGCGGATCACGGCGACCTGGCCGTGCTGCGCCGCCCACAGGAGCGATTTGCCCGGGCGGAGCACGATGCGATCGTCCTGGGCGGCGGCGTCGCGCCACCACTCCAGCACCAGGAGGTGGCCTTTCCCCGAGGCCTGCTCGAGAGCCGCCTCGGTGAAGACGAGGGGCAGGCCGGAGCGGCGCCACCACCAGTCGAGCACGTGGACGAAGCCGTTCTTGGAGGCGCCGTCCATGGCCTCTGCGTCGTAGAGGTGCGACAGGTCGTCGTTGTTGCAGTCGTTGTTGCTGCTGCTGCTGCTGCTGTTGCTGTTGCTGTTGCTGTTGCTGTTATTATTCTTGGCGCTGGTGCCGGCGCGGTTTCGGGTGTCGGATCTTGTATTGGTTCTTGTGCTCGTGCCCGTCTTGGTGCTGGCACTGGCGTCGACGCTGGCGCTGATACTGGCGCTGGGTCGTGCTTCACGGTAGATGCGCGACCCCCTCCAGTAGTCGAGGACGTCCGGGCGGCCGTAGTAGGCCGAGGCCTTGGTCGGGAGGACTTTGCCTTCGAAGGCCTTGTAGAGGTCGGGGCGGTTGGCCTCCATCCACGAGAGGACTTCGATGAGGGAGAAGCGTATGATCAGTTTGACGACGAGATAGGGGAGGTCGTGGAAGTTGGAAGGCGATTGCAGGAGCTTCTTGCAGATGGACGGGGTGTCGCAGGTCAGAACAACCCACTCGAGCTCGTGTTCGTAGACTTTGAGCGGGTCGTTGGGGTTTTTGGGGGTACGGGACCACGGCTGCGGCATGGCAAGGCTGGTGTAGATGCCGAGGGCCTGGGCCAGCTCCCAGTCTTGGGTGAACTCGAGGATGATGGTCCAGATTTCCGGGGGCAGCTTGGAGTTCACCTTGGGCGTGCCGGAGAAGAAGAGGCCGAGGTTTTGGCTGACGACGTCGACGTCGCGGCCGAGGCCCATGAGGTCGGCCTGATTTTTGATGATGCTGAGTACGTCGTTGAAACCAGACCAGTCGACGTTTCGCTTGGGGGATTTGGGATCGTCGTTATAGGTCCAGAGAATGGGCGGCATGGGACGGATCCAATGACACTTGCGGTGGATCTTGCTCATGTGGCGCTTGGTGACTGGGTTCTTCCACATGTGGGTGCTCATGCCGGGTATGAAGAGTATCTTGTTCGAGACATCCCAGCCCCGGAGGACCTCAAGCAGAAAGGTATCGGCTATACCGGCCAGCATCTTCGCGATGGTATCAGCATCGATCGGGGCGAGGACCATGAGGTCGGCCCACTCGACGAGTTCGAAGGCCTGTTGTCGGTAAAAGTCGACGTCGCGGGCGGCTTCGGAGGCGGTGGCGCCGCACTCGGTGGTTGGTAGGCAGCTCATGGGCCGGTTGGGGATGACGACGACAGTTTGGCTGAGACGGGGTATGACGTCGTCGACTATGGCGCGCATCTCGAAGGAGGAGTTTTTCGAAAGGCGGACAACGAGAGCGTTGGCCCAGGATGTATCGCGGGGACCAGTAGCGGCGACGAGAAGATGAAGTTTGCGATCGCGAGGCTTGAAGTGGAGGGACGACGAAGAGGAGTTGCTCCTCTTCAGATGGAGGAGCATATCGCTGGGGGAATCCATCGCTGCATACCTGCTTCGGCGCACGGTAACGATAAGGGATGGATGGTCGGTTGGGCTGTAGCAAAGGTGCGGAACAGAGAAATTATCTGGACGGTCGTACGATGCGGACAAGAGGTCGTAGAGATATAGTCTCGAGGGGAGCGGAGGTCATTCGGAAGCTGGGAAGATAGCAGAGGACTACCTAATGATGCCGTAACCGTATAGATATGCAGGGAGTTTGGTTGGGTGGGATGTGCCAAGGTTCGTTCGTCCTCGCGTGCAAAGAAAAGAAAGAACAATATAGAAAGAACGAAAAGGCGGTGCAAATAATGGACAGGTGGTAATAAGGTAAAGAGGCAAGTAGAAAGATCGGGTGTACCTTAGTGTCAAGTCGGTCAGAAGAGATAAGGGTCAGTCGGTGAAGGGGGATGATGCGTTGGGTACCTTAGGTTTGCGTCTTGCATTTTCGCCTTTTTGCCGTTGTACACGTACCTACTTTTGGGCATTTGCCCTTTGCTTGCCATACGTAGTTGGATCCACCCGGGAGTCTCCACCCGGATGGCAGGGAAGCACCATCCTTACGTAAGCTGGAGACCTGTCAGTCCAATTGAAATCGTGCCATCACAGTGATGACATCCTCGGGTTCAGAGAAGTTGCTCACCGCTTTCCGTCAGCGGATAATGGAACTCCACTGTGTCTGGCATTATCGGCAGTTTTTGAATATTTTTATTTTATTTTATTTTTGTTTTTATTTTTTAGGTAAACATCTTGGGTTGAGCAGAGCAGGTACAGATACATTAACCGGCCAAACTCTTCTATTACCAATGCTTTACATGCGTCTCCAAGTATTATGATTTGAAGATACTAACGGGAACGTAAACAGTCTGCAGACGACTGAACATCAAAGGCCCAACCAAACCTTTACTCAGGATCATGATACCATCATATCATCGCATCGGTACAGGGTACTGTATAAACGATATGCAACTCATGATGAAACAGGGACTTGAGGGAGATTGTTGAATTAACGGGAGCGTGCTTACAGGGAGCGTTAATTCAGGAAATGTATAATTATATTATCTATAAAAGAGAAAGAAAAAGGGGGCGGGTATACGTGTCCTGAATATATCTACCACCTTCTAAGCGAGGATAGTGGGGCACCTCTAACTAATAGGAGAGCACTATACCGTGGCTCACGTGATAGAATATAATACACCCCCTAATTATTACGCCGTGATTAGCGGAACGATTACTTAGCCTAACCTTAACCTAGCCTTATTTTTAACCTTAAAATAGCCTTAAAGGGTCGTGTAATACCCTTAATATCGAGTTAAAAGGCAGGAATAAAAGCTATAAAATAGTAAAGAATAATAATAATAGTAGTAAATAATAAAGGAAAAGTACTATTAATAGCAGTAGTAAATAGGTGATAGTAAAGCCTCCCGTAGATAAATTAAAGGCGTTATACCAGTGTTTTGGAGCTTTTGGATCCTCCCTCTTATAACTTCTCGTTCCGTTGTTTCTTAAGGAATTTTAACGATTTTTAAACTAAAATTTTCCGATTTTTCTAAATAACAGCAACAAAAACAACAACAACATCGATATAGTAAGTATCGGAGCTTTATTTTCAGTGGCGCGTGCTAACTGGTAGCGTCGTTTAGGCTCCCCCCACCCTCTCGGCCGTCACCCGTGCCGCGGCAGCTAAGAAAGCCTCGGCCAATAGTATAAAGAAGACTAAGGGCAAAGCCGGCACTAAGAAGGGTGCTTCTATAAGTTATTTCCGAGCGTTAGTCTACGATATCTCTGCTCTATTCTAAGCTAACTCCTTAAAAAACTGCTAAGAGCAGTAATAATAATAATAAGGATACCGAGGATAATTTTATTCCGGTTCTATTTAATCCGCCCTGCCTAGAATACGTAAAGGGTATTTATTCGGGGAATAGCGCTCGTTTAATTACTATGTTTCCGTTCCTGGCCGCTCCTATCGCTGCCAAAAGTGCAAGGATAGAAACCACATATACCACCCTCTATAAGTTCTTACCCCCTATCTAAGGCGCTTTACGATCGTGATCGTGTGCTTTATTTTGTATTAGCTCGAAGATATATACGCTATTAAGCTTTACGACCGCTAACCTATACTTATAGTTTTGCTAGCCTTATCTTTTTAATTAAAATTCTTTTTAACTATGTTATAGTCCGTAAGATTAATAAGGACTCTAACGACGACGATAAGAAGGTGCGTTTTTCGCTGTATTTCTAAAGTTAAATACTCTGACTGACTAGTTTCGCGCAGTTCTTCGCTAAACTTAAGTAAACGGTGAAGTTTATAATTAAACTAATAGAGGACGAGGATAACAAGAACTTCTTCCGTAAGGAAGAACTTAAGGGAGCATTAAACCAGCTTCCTACTACTGCCTCGGGTAGTAATTCCACCTCCTAGCTCGCGGGGGTTATAATAGAGATTTTACGGGAAAATGGCTTTATTATTACTCCTCCGGCTGGAGGAAATAGTGTGGTGGCTGGCGTATCTGGTGCGTAAGTCAGTGCTCCGGATAGAGCCGATAAAGCTTAGTAACTTGGCTAGTATGCTTCTTTGGTGTTTTAGGATTTGCTTTTGGGTTTTGGAATAGTGTTTTGGCATTAAGATAACTATACCCTCCTACTTTTTACTGAATTAACTAAACCGCCGGCTTGCTATACGCCTAAGGCGCAGGAATTTCGACTTTAACTGCTTCTTTCCACCCCCTTCGTGCACTGATTATATTAAGATATACTCGGAAGTTCTCGAATTTTTATCGTGGAAGTGCTTTTATTAATCCGTCCGCTAGTATTAAATTCGTAGTAAGATATACGACT